CAGTGTCTTAGCTATGGAACATTTGTTCAAGATTTTTGTTGAGTTTGTTTCCTGGAGAGTTTTTCTTTTGAAAAACTGCTTACATGCGTCTTCAAAACAATAAATATACTACGGTGATTTCTTTTGATTAAAGAGGACATATTATTCCCCTCTTCCACCTTTTCAAACCGTCCCCTGTGGTCTAAATGAAACATCTGTGCTGTGCTTTGGTCAAAATATAACATGAATCAAGCACCGGAGGAGGTTTGTGACCCTGTATAAACCAGCTCTCTCAGAACGCTCCGCTTTGGTGTGTGTGTCTCTTTAAATGTAATGAGCCCGCCCCCTGAGTTTTCCCCGTAGACATCACTCCTCTGTAGGGAGAATAAAAATGGCAGACCTGCGCTAAAGTTTTGCTCTAGTCTGAGGGTGGAGTTCATGGGTGGAGATATCAGGGGAGGGGAGGAGATTTTTCTTTACCAGAATCCCACTGTGACATCACATCACATTTGAAACAGAGCATTTTTCTCTGTGTTGTAAGACTTATGCAGACCACAAACAAAGAACTGGATGGGTTTATTTCACATTTTGTGGGTCAGTAGACGCTCAGGTTACCCAGATATATGTTCAAAAACACTGAAGAAGTTTTCACTATATGTCCCCTTTAAGCCCCCGCCTGTTTGAGGCACAGGGTTTGTGTTTATTTTGTTTCACATGTACATTGATGAGAAGTTACTTAATAAGCACATTTTGTAGAGAGTAGTGGTTGAGAATAGAAACTCTTCAGGACCTTCTAGGGGTGAAAGTGAGGACAACATTAGCATGAAGTGTGGCTCCATCTTGTGGCTGAAACACGTCACTGCAGCTCTGTGCCCTACTACAAATAACCCTGAAACCAAACATGCTGTTAATGTAGATATTATTTAAAACGTATGACTCTATGCAAACCTTTCATGTAAATACTGTTAAACTCCACCTCATGTACATTAACCCGTCTGTCACATCATATCTATCGCTATTGGGGAAGGGGAAAAAACAGATACCGATATATCGGCCAATATCTTTCTCAGATCTTTGAAATCTTTAGCGATAGATATAAATGTACACATCTATTGTGTTGATCCACAAGTGCAGTTATCAAACACTTGTGGGAAAGACAATGAAGACAAGATGGTCACTCGACTGGAAAATATGTGCATAACCGCTTGACACTCTGGAGAGTGATGATGCTTGTTGTAATCCATATAGCGCCCTCTGCTGGTCGAAGAGAACTGCTAGTGTAACACAGTGAAGCTCAAATTAAATGCTATTTGACTGGTGAATAAATCTTGTAATATCGCCGACTATAAGTGATAAAATTAGCCGATACCGGTAGTCACTGGATATGTTAATATCGGCCGATATTATCGGCTGGCTGATAAATCGGTCGGCTGAAAAATCGGTCGGGATCTTTTTGCAGTTGCCCCTTTAGAATATCTTATTGTCTGCTGTAACTGTTGTGTTGTAAATGTGTCTGTTTTTCTAGATAAAAACTGGTAACACAACAAAGAGGCCTGTGCCATCCATGAGGAAAAATCTGAGGAGCGATGAACGAGAGCAGCCTGCATGGATTGGACTTTTCAGTCTTATTTAGCACGTTTCTAACCTTCTTGAGTCACAAATCAACACATTTCAGTTAGCACAAACAATATTCAGAACTCTATATACTCTATATTCAGATTTCACCAAGGGGGAAATAACATGAAATAACAGGTTGTGGTTTCAAACACAGGGACAATGCATCAACACCAAGCACATACTGAAATACTATTCTTGTAGATTACTCTGTTCTTTCCAAGTCATCGTTTCTATTTCCCCTTATCAGGAAGATTTATTTTACAACTTCTGGTAAGCTGATCTGTTGGGCTTTTTGGAGAACAAAAGATGCTGCAGACATTTTCATTCATTAGCACGGGGTCATAGACCTCTGCACAGGTGTTGCTCTTACTGCCCTTTTTCAAAGACCCCTGTACCCTTTGAAGGGTGCACAGCAAAGAGCTGGTTTTGTTTTGTTTTATAGGATTAAGACATTTGGCGATATATGAGGGAATGTATTTAAGTTACTATCACATCTTTTTTCTTGGTATATCACTTTAAATAAATGGTAATAAACTGACTTACTTACACAGGACACTATGAGTAGAACATGATGTATGTTTTTAAATCAATTTAATACACTAACAACATATAGTTTGTAAAATAATATGACATAACAAAAGTGAAAATTTAAATGTATTAAAAGGATTTGCAGATCAGATGAATTTGTAGTTTTTAGTGTCATGTCAATGTGTTTCTTAACCATCATAATCATTCATAATATATGAAAGTGGATCCACTTCTGTTAAATTCACAAGCAAATTAAATAAAACAATATCACAATGTATCCACCAGAGGGTGCTGTTTATTGATTGTACAGGGTTTGATAACATGTAATAAGACATTCATAAGCAAAGCTCTCAAAAGTAATGTATTGACCACTGATGTAATAAAACACAAAGTAATGTAACAAACGTATGCCATGAATGTAACATGAACTAATAACTATTTAAAAAAGTATAAAAAATGATTAACATCTAAGTAACAAAGTGCTATGTCTTTGTCACCTGAGTGAATCGACTTAAAGGAACAGTAACAAAAACTTTCAAGGTTAAAAGACCCGAAACATTCATGTGTGTCAAGGCTTGTATAACATTTCCACACTTTGACAAGTCTTTTTAAGGAATGTGTTTACATATTGAAATTCATAAAAGGAAGCACCAGGGGGAAAAAAAACCCTGCAACAGCTACACATTTTCATGATTTAAAATTGTTGTTTTTATACTCTTTTGGATTTCATGCTTGTTTAAAAAAGATATAACAAACCCTCATTTTCATACAGACAACCATGTTTAACTGGCATTATGAGTTGGGGTGACCATTTAAAAAATTTAAAAATGAAAGTTTCCCCCATTAGACGTAGGTTCACAGTTTTCTAGGTTTCAAAATTTGAATCTAAACTCCTGACCAATAGGTGTAAATGCCCGTGGGTTCCAAGATGTACGTAAACACAAAAACTATTTTAGTGCAATTAAACTCAGATGACAGCTTGGCTGTTTTAGTAAGATAAGGGCTTTTTAAACAGTCAAATTAAAGAAAATATAAAAGATGATCGACCAAAAGAGTGAGGGAATATGCTGACTGTGTTTGCCATAATTTTGGTTAACCTTTCTCACAGGAAAAGATTCTCTTAGATTAGCACCCTAAAGATGGTATAAACCCCATCTATAAAGGCAAAAACGGTCGTTGAAAGAAAAACAGAATAGACCCTAGTACTCTACCCTGTTGAGCACCAATGGTTGATTTTGTACCGAGCTTGTTACACGTCTTTCCAGGACCCTGAGCTTTATAGACTTTACAAAAAGAGTCATCGATTGATCTCAGGTCTTCATCTTAGTGAAGCTGAATTATCCCAAGCAATGTACTCTTCTGTACAAACTGCAAACTCACCCATCAACTTTAAAATCTGCATTTTTCCCACAATCATCTTTGGAATAATGCTGCTATCTGAATAGCACTAAAGCTTTTCACCAAGCGGTCCAGTTCAGTTCGGTTCAGCATAGTGGCATTTATTGGCGTTTCTGCTGTCAAAAGTAAGAAATGGTACCAAAATAACTGTACCGTCCTACTTCTATGCTACCCGTTTGTTGGGGTGCCAAGCATACGGATCTGATCCTAAAAGGTGGATCGAAACAACATGCAACCTGTGCAACAGCGGTAATAAAGAACAAAGAACAAACAAAAAACACATAATGTTTAAATATCCCGTTGATTTTGAGACAGTAATTGCAAGGCTGTTTGTGCTTGTATCTTTTCTTGCCTTGTTGCCATTAGTTGCGTTGCATTCTTCTTCTAGGTTTAATATATTGATGGGCCACACTGTGGCGCGCTGCTAAGTTACGTTATCACATAACTGGCACCCCACGTACAAAGTAAGGGTACTGTTGGCTGTGAAAACGCCAGCGAGATCAGGGTTAACCATACCATAACTGTACTGGACCAAACTGGACAGCACATCCAGGCTAAAAAGCAGCCTGTGCACAGACAATAGACAACTGAACAGTGTTTACATTCAAAAATGTGCCATTGTATCAAAAGTGACATAGTATTTTATGTGCAATAACATTTCATTTAATTAATAACAAAGGCACAAGGGGAGTCTTATACTTGTTCTAGGAGATGCACAACAAATTTGTTGTACAATGTGCAAAGGCAATAAAGGAATTCCTTATATTCATATCGTCCATACTGGGAGCAGAACCTCTGCTAGCTTAATTATTGGTACTTAGCTTCTTTTAGTACCTTAAAGAAGGATACAAAGGGTCCTGACCCAGAGTAAAATTAATGCAGTCATCTTATCTTCTTAAAAACAAACAGATAAGGTAATTAAGAGTAGGAAAAACACAGAATAAATCCCTATAATGTTAAAAAAAATCCCTTTTACTCCCAGATAATTAAGCTGGCGTGGAGCCGAGCTGTGGCTGGCTGATAAAAAGGCGTTAATTGGTTAAAAGAGGCGATTAGATGCGACAGTGACGTGTTTTGAAACAATTGGTAAGGCACATGGAAACGTCCGACAGCCAACACTTATATGCATTTCACCAATTTTTCTTTCATGATCATTTGGGGGAGGGGCAACAGGCATGCCTGCTGTGCCACTGTCAGGCTGAATTTCAAACTTCAAAATTAGTCGTATGACTCAGATATTGGGTTTAAATTGGCCTGAATTGGTCGGTGTACGCCAAGCTTTAGGTTTGGTGCTGGACCGGAAAATAAACAACTAAAAATGAATGGAAACTTAGTATTTAACATGCTTATACTATATACCCTACCACATGGCTCCTTATAACTCCCAAAACTGTGAAACTAGATAAGAAGGAAGAGCCAACACACCAAGAAAACCTCAGAAGGCTGTACAATTAGCTCCAGGATCCCAGAACCTTCCCCCTCCATGCCAGGTCTCGCCGACCCACGATCTTCAACCTACCAAGACCCTACATGACACTACATACCCTATCACAAGGCTCCCTTAAAGGCCCCCATAACCAAAAAGTGAAGACAGATGGGCCTCAAAAGCCAACACATCAACGGGAAATAAAAAATCATGACAACAAAAAGGGTTGCTGATAACGACATCAAGAGGCACGTTATGTTACATGTCTTGTCAAAGCTATTTAGGTTGAATCTCAAAGTTTCTAAAAAAGGTGGAAACGCCCTCGATGACCCGTATCATGACCAACTCGTATCAACCTTGATACGAGCACCACATCTTGAACATTCATTTAATCAAGCTTGTCTTGTAGCAACTCCTCCGTTTCTTCAGATACCTTAACAAGACTTAAGCGCGAGATGGTGTTTCTACGTTTGGGCTTGGCTCCATTTGGACTGGGCAAAGACAAGCTGTTGGAACGGGAAACGTACGTTCCATTTAAAGGGAAGGCTGAAGAAGCAGTGGCTACCAGATCATTGACACAAGGTGCTAAAACGGTACTGCCTTCTGGTTTGTCGACAGATTCTGGACTAAGATCATGGTATGCATCAGGACTCTGCCTCGACATGAGTCCATCTTGTTTTTTGGTTGGTTGTTGGATGATCTCATGGTTGGTTAGCTTCATGTCATCCACGTTTATTACATGTTCAGTGGAAGCCTCAGCGTCGTAAACTTGGTTTCCTGGGGGACAGTTGCCTTCGTCAATCCTGCGGGTTGTATGATCTGATGACCGCCCAAACCCGGGAAATTTTTGTCCATCTGCTGTGTGAACACAAAAATATAAGTTCCGTTAGATTTCACAATTATATCTTTGTATGGGTGATCGCTCCATTCTGATTGGCTTAGGTGGATTTGTAGACAAAGCTAGTGATGGGCTATGGAATGTAAAGGCTGTAAAAACAAAATCCAGTTTCCATGTCCTCTTACCTGAACAAGTGTTAGTGACTTACCAGAGTTAAAGAATCTCTTGAAGACGTAGAACACACATAAGCCTAATCCACAGAGAATCACAAGTACTAAAACAGTGATGAAGATGGATAAAGTGCAGGACCTCATGCAGCCATCTTGAAATAATAACAAAGAAAACATTATAGACACATGTGAGACACAACATGAATAATTTCATATCAACAACAGTTAAACATCATGTCATCAGTAAGTCTCTTCATTAAATAACCTCCTTATTTATCTGATAATGGCGTCTGGAGAATCCCTAATTTAATCTGCTGTCTCTTTAGGGTTAGGAGATCAAGGTTCTGGATCCTGGATCTTTCAGTCCAGACTGGGTGTATGTCCATCTTGGACTGTCCTGGATGACCATGGCCTGCACCAAGGGCTATCCATGGATTAAGAAATGGTTGACTAGAGGAGCGTGGGTCTCAAAACATTGTAGTGGTGTTGGGTGAATCGTGTGACGAAGGTGTTTCTTGTCTCACCAACATACTGTGCACCACATCTTGAACATTCATTGAATCTGTTGTCTCTTTAGGGTTAGGTTTGGTGAGGGGTTAGTGTTAGGGTTAGAATTCTTAGAGCTACAGCATACCTGGTATGAAAGTCTCTGTAACTCTGGTCTGGTTCATGTCAGGCTGGTGAACTCTGCAGGAGACTCTGTGAAGAAAAGATCGACGTGTTATAGTTTTACTTTTGCTGTTTTTTGTGAAAAGGTGATGTTTTTCAATCGCTTCAACAGTTATTCCTGTGGGCGACATTCCTGTGGTCTATTGCACCAGGTATGAACAAGTTGTGTTATCAGTTAATGGTGTACAGTACACACTAAACTCTACAATGAAACTTGTGAGTTTGTAACTTAAGCCATTGTTTGTTTGCACCGTAGGGCTGCAAGTTTCATCTTAACTAGTTGAGTGTGACGTCTAAACTAACCAAAATGTTTTCCTAGAAATTACATTTTCATTTCCTGTGACCAGTCAGTGAAAAGTATTTTTAATCAGTGTTTGTTATAGTGCTGCCTCTTGTGCCGGATTGTCTCTGAATAGACTAACAGCTGATAATTACTTGTGTTAACTTCAGTTCAATTTTGAGCCCGACCGATTTATTGGCTCGCCGATAATATCGGCCGATATTAGCATAACATTTGACTATCTTTATCAGCTAATTTTATTGCCAATATCTGCCCATATAACTAGGTGTATTCAATTTCAGTTCATTATTTTAAAAAAATATATCTGATGTTTAATTTTTAATTCCTAAGAGGAAATGTGTGTTTCAGTGCGCTATCGTTATTTTCACTTGTATCCCGAATCTAAGTTCTGCTTCATAGAGCTGGTAGCATGGATGTACATTCTGAGTCTTTTTGAATGTGCTGCCATAAAATGAAACATTTTTAGTGTGTGAGCCTTTACAGATGGAAATGGATGCCTAATTTCTTTGCTAAATGGTAAATCGACTTGAGCTTGTGGAGTGCTTTTCTAGTCTCCTTTTCTGGTCTACTCGAAGTGCTTTTGCACCACAGGTCACACCTACACAATCAGACTAATTCACACCCTGATGGTAGAGGCTGCTGTGTAAAGAGTCCATCAATATTAACTAATCCCATTCATACACATTCATACGCCACCGACAGAGCAGCGGGAGCAAGTTGGACAAATCGGACATGCTGCTGCAGGAGCTGGGGATCGAACCCCAAACTTCCTGTTGAGAGACGACCGACTCCACCAACTGAACCACAGCAGGGCTGCTCTGATTAGAATTCGCTAAAACAAGCTAACAACCAAAAAGCTGAAAACTGGGTAAGCTTAATAAAAAATATATGGCTCTTTTAAGAGTTTGAATACAGAAATAAAAAATGAACCTGTTGGTGGCGGTCTGGAGGGTCACTCTCCTCGTGATGTTGAAACATCCTCTGGGGCCAAGCTCACTTTTTGGATCTTCAGCACTGATGATGTTGTCACCGTCATCAAGAAAAGTTATCTCAGGCTTCGGGAACCAGCAGCTGGCTTCACACTGGAGAGTCACTCCAACACCCACAGTTGGGATAAAGGAGAGTTTGGGCTCCGAAACAGCACCTACAAAAACAAGAATGAAACCACAGAACCTGGAAGTGGCTGCTCTAATTCTGTCTAGAACTTAGTAGGTTTATCGTACTGGGACGAGGGGTCGCTTCGCTGAGCGCTTATCCTTTCATTCGGGCACAAGTATCTCTACAAGTAAATTGCCAAAGAAGCCTGGTGGCTTTTAAAAATTGAGATGTAAAGGCCATTTCTGGTTAAAAAAGGATCAAATAGTTTAGAGGTCCTTTCTGTAATGTTGGCAGATAGTGGACAAATATGGATTGGACACACTTCCACCAACAAGTACATTGCAGGCATTATAGCTTATCGTGTTGCTGCAGGTCAAGCAATATACTAGATTGATTCCAAATGTTTTTTTTCCAAGGTCCAAGGTTTTGAAATAATTAAATTCTCCTTCAAGAAAGTTTGGTTCATAGTTGCCTGTAGAACCGCAAATTGCTTATACTTCACTTTTGGTACGGTTTAACCAAAGAAGATATTATTAATTATAATATATAATTATCATTATATCATTATAAGATATACTTTATACGTTATTTAGCAAAGGACTTTAAAGCCATGGATTGGCAGATATCCTTTAATTAGCACACAACTAAGAAAGCTGTTTCCCCACTTCAGTGTTTATGTGAAGCTAAGGAAACTGCCCCCTGTCTGAACCTCAATATTCAAGCAATAGTAATGAGAGTGGTATGATTTTACCTATACCATAGCAACTCAGAAAGGAGATCCAAAACCATTTTTATATGATAAATTATTGAAAAGGACCAACTACACTTGACCCAAATTGTGTCATTTAACAGTGAAAGCCACCTAGCAGACCAAACAAGGTTGCGGACTCTTCTTCATAACCAACAGGAAACAACTTATGGGGCACTGTAATGAAACATCAAAGATGATTGGACGTACCGACAATGAGTTCTATAAAAACATCCCTGTGGTGTTTCTTGCGGATCGTCTTGCATGTGTAGTTCCCCGCATCCGATAGCTGCACATTGGAAATCCTCAGGGATATGTTTCCGTTTTTCAGTTGGTCCATGATGAGGCTGCTCCTGTACCAGTAGGCCGGATCCTTCATGTCGTGGGTCTCACAGCCGTCGCGGTACAGCAAGACCATTTCCATACCTTCTTTGGACCACTCGACTGTTGGGAGGTCATCGCTGACATTGGTGTGGCAAGGCAGAATGACCGGATCACCAGCAAAGGCCCGGATGGTCTTCACGCAGTCCTCTGAGGATCCTCATGGAAATAACAAAAGAATTTGTAAAAATAAAGTTTTTTCTAATTGTAACTACATCCAATGACAAAGACAAGAACCAACGGAACTGATGCTGTTGGTGTATTGTTAATGCACCCAAAGTAGTGCACCGATGCATCGGTTTAACATCGGCATAGGCCCTGTTGACAGACATCGGCAAATAATGTGGCACGAACTGATGTCACTAACTGATGTTCATTTATTGTTTTTAATCAATTTAATGCTGTCATCTAGTACACCTAAATACTGATTCAGAGAACAGGTTTCTCACTGAGCAGACAAAGTCACTCAGGGAACAAAATCCGACTTTTTTTAATGTCAAACATGAGACAAAATGTCAGCATTGGGAGTCTTACACCAAAAGAATATATCAAACAAACATCGGTATCGGAATCGCATTCAGCTAGAAATCTGCAACCACCTTGATTTGCCCAATTGGTTCATCTCTAATCCAAAGCCTTGAATACACTACTACTGTGTCGCAGAGCTCTACTGTTGTAAAGCAAACACATTAAAAAACACATGAAGTTTGATCAAAACCAGGACCATCATTTCAACGCCTCACACTCATCACAACAGTGATGGGTTTGGTTGATTAGCAAGAAATCAATTCTAATTTGCCCCTCCAACAACAGAGTGGTACCAGAGAGAGTGTAAAGTATGTGAGAGCTACACTGAAATAAGTAGTTTAATCTTATAAGTAAGTGTTTCTCAGACGCTTCCCTTAAGTTAGGGGGCCGTTAGGGGCTGGTGCTAACGTTAGCCTAGCCTGTTTCTAGGTTGTCTCTTGGCTTTGAGTTTATGATTTCTTTAGTGTTCATCACTCATCAGGTTATTAGCAGAACCCAAATGTTAGCAGAGGTCTCCTCCTCTCTAATACAAATAATCTGTAAATTAAACTAGAGCCCGATCGATAAATCAGCCGGCCGATAATATTGGCCGATATTATCATTTCCAGTGACTATCGTTATCGGCTAATTTTATCGCAGATATGCGCCGTCATTACTAGAAGTATTCACCAGTCAAATAGCATTTAATTGAGTATCATTAGCAGTTCTCCTTCACCAGCAGAGGGCGCTATATGGATTACAAAAAGCATCATCACCCTCCAGAGTGTCAAGCGGTGCATGCACAGTTACTTTCCAGTTGAGTGACCATCTTGTCTTCACTATTTATCTTTTCCACAAGTTTTTGATAACTGCATTTGAGGGATAAACACAATAAATGTGTATATCTATATATTTCTATTTCTACAGATTTCATAGATTTAAAACAAAATATCAGCCGATAAATCGGTATCAGATTTTTTTCAGTCCCCAATATCAATATCGGTATCAGCCCATAAAAAATCATACTGTATATCGGTCAGTCTCTAAATGAAACTGGTAAAAACACTGAATGTATGAAGCATTTTTATGTTTAAGTTCCTCTCTCTCAACAAGAAACCCAACTCCAAAAATTCTCTTTCACACTAAGTTAAAGTTTCACGTTTCACAAGGGAGGCAGTCAATATAACACTGGAAACCATCAAGCAGGCATAGTAAGAATGGAATTCGGGTGTTTCAGTGTTAGGTTGACATCTTGATTTCATTGCCTCAAACAAGTTTAATCCGGTCCTTTGGCAACCAATCACAACACAACACCACCGCTGCGGAGAGGGCACGACAGCTATGCACAGCCAGGCAACGAGAGAACAGTATCACATGACTCCATACTTCTAAAGGATTAGGATTTCAGTTCTGCTTTGGCATTCGGGTCAAACAAAAAGTTTGTCAGGCCAACATGTTGGTCTTGACTGAAATAAGATCTCAGGCAAAATCCATCCTCAAATAGAACTTTAGAAAGTGGACAATGACACACCCTGTATATTGTGACATATGCATACCACAATGATTATTTTGCACCTTCTGATACCCGTTAAGCCTTTCATTACACTCAACACACAAAATTAAGGATAGAATGAAGATGTTGTCCCCATAAAAAAATGAGACATTGTGACTTGTGTCTCTTTGAGATGCCTACAGCTCTTTTAATAACTAGTCAGAAACTAGTTTTAAAACCATTTTTGGACCATTTTTATTATTATTAGGGGGGCAGAGTGGTTAGGGATCTCTAACTCTATCCTGTTTCCACAATAAAGGCACAAAAAGCCCAAAAATAAATAAATAAAAAAGATATCTATGAATATGTTACAGGAAGTCTTCACTAGTAAACAACCTTATCACTAACACCTCCTGATGCCCCTAGCGCCCAGCCACCTGCATAGGACTGTGCCCTCCTTTTTCATGCACGGCCTGCTCTTTGGTGCCCTGAGTGATTTAGGAAGTCATTAATTAAAGAAGTTGGATCGGTAATTAACAGTATTGAGAAGTCTGAAGCGTCGTTAAAAGTCCCCCAGTGGTGTTGTAGGCCTACTGTGTGGCCTGTTATCAGCAATCGTGGAGGCTTGTCGTCCCATAATTTGGTCAGAACTATGGCAGGCCACCATGTAGGACTCATTTTAAAGAGATGAAAAATCAATAAGCGCTGCGACATCAAACATTCGTGTTTCTTCCAAAGCAAACACAACTTTCTTCTGCATCGTATTTAAGGACAAGTTAAGTCAAGGAAGTTAACAATTATTTTTACTCACCGGGGTTACAAGGCAGCAGAATCAAGGCGGAGAGCAGGAGAAGACTTCTCTGCATGGCGAGAATATAAAACTATAACATGCGATAATCGTGTTAAAAAAACTTAAAACTGATCGATTACAGTAAGGATTGAGAATTTGCGTGGGGGTTGTCTTTGACGTCAGGGCGCCTTCTGGGTTACTACTTGTTCGTACTGGTTCTCCTGCGTCTTCGACCAATGGAGCTGTGTGCTGTTCGTGGACGAGCCGGCTGTAAGAACCGACTAATGTTTTTGGGGGGGAGGGGAGTTCTTTATGCCGTTATTGTACAGACAGGACAGTGGATTTAGTCAGAAATTAGGGGAGAGAGAGAGAGGGGGGGGAATGACATGCGGGAAAGAAGCAGCAGGTCGGATTTGAACCCAGGCCGCCCGCTCACGAGGACTCAGTCTGCGTCCGAAACGGCATACATTCATACTAAATATGGCGTCACATTGAGTGTGTGGTGTGATCAGCCAGAATTTGAAACGGGAGCACACTAAGCCGCCCCACAATGCACTGCAGATCTCGCCAGCCAGACAAAGTTAGCGGCTTAAAATACAAGTTCCATGCTGAAATACATTTGACATGTTGCCAAGTAATATCAAAATGGCTACGAAGCTTTATTAGTAAAGAACTGTTGCATGTTTTTGTTGAACTATTACAGGCAGATTAGTTCAGGTTAGTCTGCAATATGCATATTTTGGTCAGAACCTTGCAAAGTGTGGCAGAATTATTTAAACTAGAAAGGTCACGGAATGATAGTTAGATAGTTAGCTAGATAGATAGATCGATTTTTATTTGACATGGGCATCACAATCACATTGGATGAACCAGATGCATTGTTTGAGTAGTTTAGCACACATGCTATTTCTCAACACGAGTCCACTGGAGTCTTTTGAGAGAAAAACAAAAGGAGAAGTATATTACTACAAATTACATCCATATAAGATGTAAAACAAAGGCAACACGATCAGACAACGAACCAGTTGCAAGCTATTCATGTGAGCACTGTCATTTTGACATACACATTAGAAAGAGCTGAGTCAAATCGCCCTCTTCACTAAAAAGAGCCCAAATTCCCACTTCCCAATTTTTTACTTTCGATTTCAGAAGAGCGGCGTGCTGCATTCAGGTGGTGTCGGACAAACGATTTTCCCAGTTGTAAAACGCACATGAACACCTGCTCAAGTCGGAACAACAAGAACTCGGAAATTCAGAAAAGAATAAGCTGCCCGACTTCCCGACTTGACGTCAGAATCGTCATCAAATAGGGTTCAAAATATGTTTTGTTAATGATAACAATTATTTTATTAATTCACGTATTGCACATTAACTTTTTGCTCAAACAAAAAAACATTCAGACATGTTTTGGGGAGCTCTGAGACTTATTTACACTGAAGAGGAGGAGGATATGAGACCTTTAATGAAATGAACTGAAAGATTAATTTACAGCTATCATGACGCTGTGTCTTTAAAATGTGAGCTTTGCTGTGATTGAACATGGGAAGTGAAACTCAAGCCTCCTCTTGGGGTTGTTTGTTTTTTTGAATGACACAAAATCTTGTGGTGGGGGGAAATTCAGAGGTCAGAAGTTCAGGGACTGGTGAAGAAAAACAGCGTTTAAACATTTGATGAATAATTACTCTTTAGCCCCGGTTATAGAATGTGGATACAGGATTGATTTGAAAAACAGACACACAGACGCATTGATTCATTTTGCACGTTAACTTAGCGTTTACTTCAAACGTGTTAATAGTACAGAGAAAAAATAAACAGCAAATAAAAACAACATGGTTTTACAGGGACATAAAGGTAAATTGAACACAACATAAGATTCATCATCAGCCGCCGTCGTCCTACAGGTCATCGTGCCGGATGCTTACAACAATGATTCTTCAGCAACAAAGCTGCACACATGCTTGTTCTTGTTGGGGGAATGTCTTTTATGAGCTGCTGCTGTGTGTTTCTGTCTGAAAGGCAACACAGTCAAGGTGCTTTACTGACCACATGACACGACGCGAGAGATTCAACATTCAGTCGGAATTAAAGGCCAAAAGTCCACCAGATGTGTGTTCGGTCCGTCTCCCTCCTCGTGGAGCTGATTTGGTTTTCACTTTTAATCAGTGTTTTGTGCTGCCACCGGTTCCGCTGCGCTGCGTCTAATGCGGCGTTCATGTGGTGTCAGAGAAATCGGGAAAAAACGAGTTGTTTCCGAGTTGTAAAATGCACATGAACACCTGCTCAAGTCGGAACAACAACTCGGAAACTCGGAAAAGAATTAGGTGCCCGACTTGACGTCAGAATCGTCATCACGAGGGGCTAAAATATGTTTTGTTAATGTCAACATACTTTTAATTAATTCAGGTATTGCACGTCAACTTTTTTGCTGGAATATCACTTTTAACAGTGACATTTCACTGATCTTCTTCTTCGTGGCATCAACGCTTTTTGTGCTGTTGTTACAACATTCCGACTTTCCGGAATTGAAATCACATGAACACACTGAAGTCGAAGAACAACGACCACCTGAGCAGCACCTGAATGCAGCATGAGCTCCGCAGCAAATACGCAAAGGCCGGATGGAGCACGGCGCGTCAATTTCGCACAGAATAGATCGAGCCGCACAGGAAGTCAAAAAACCGAAAATAACATGAGAACATCCGGGTTATTTTCAGAATAAAACACTCAAGAGGGGTTTTTCAGGTTCTGAACGATGACAGCATGTGTGTTGGTTTGTGTTTGTAAGGATTTTCTTTTGAACGTGTGAGAATTACCGCGCGGGGGATTCCTTTGTGTCGACAGAACGCGGCCGGTGGGCGTTGACGGTCGAGGGAGCACGCACACATATCTGGTGGAAGTCCTGGAGGTTACATTACATGATTTAAAAAAAAACAAAATATTACAGTATGTAGGAAAATGAATACACAACATATTGATAAATAAAACAACAGAGGTAAATAAAAACATTGTCAGGACATATCATCATGTAACAGAAACTAAAAGGAGAAGTCGTTGCAGAGCTGCGTTAAACATTACTCAACGGGTTATGTTACAGAGGATTCATGACTTTACACGTTTTTTGTTTTCTAATGGAGAAACTGCATTTTTCTTTTTTGTAGTTATACATTTTCACCAACATGACAATGTGATGTCTCCCCCCTCCCCCCCCCGTCTGGACGACGATGTGGGTTATAAAGAGCCAGAAGCAAAGAAGAAGTTCACTTGTTAATTTTTTTGTTTTTTTTAACCCCCATGCTTTTCCCCCCGGCCCCCCGCGTTAGTGCACGAGCTCCAGCTGGCTGGTGGAGAACGGCAGCACCCCGCTGACGTAGTAGGCGATGCCCAGGGACAGGAGGGCGATGACCACCAGCAGGAGCAGGACCCTCCAGAAGCCCAGGTCCTCCACGAACTCCTGCCAGGTGGTGCGGAAGCTGGACAGGACGCCCTCGCTGCTCTGCAGGTTGGGGTTGAGTAAGGAGTGGCTCTCCATCGCACTGAGACGGACAGATGGACGGAGGGAAAAACAAAAAACATGATTTTTTACAACATGCCGAAGCCAACTGCACCAGGACCAGGGAACCTGTGTGAATCTGGACTTTGGGGGTGCTCTTAGACTGGTTCTATAATCTTTAATATGATCAGGACTAGTTGTCATTTCCTTCAAACACAAGACGTCGTCCCCGCCTCTCACTCTCTCACCTCTCGCTGTCGGCCATCTGCATGGTCTCCAGCTTGGAGTGAGCTCCTCTGTTGAAGCCCTTCACCTCCTGCTCCTCCAGTCCCTCCAGCAGACGGATGGCGTCCTTGTTGACGCCGCGTCTCTTCGCCAGCACCAGCGGGGTCGAGCCGTTGTGGTTACTGCGACACACGACAACCGAAACACACACACACACACACACACACACACACACATACACAACGCTGTTAAGACAACAAGATCATGCAGGAAATATCAAGAAGGGCTGCTACTTTCAAAGTGAACACAGAATGACCAACTGTCAGCCAAAAAACAAGTCAGGGAGAACTCTTTTCACATGTGCACTCCCGAAACTTCAAGAGAATTTCAAGAGACCTTTTACATAAAAGACATGACGCGGAGTTGTGGACGAAGCAACAGAGTCCGCTATACGAAGCTATAAAGAGAATATTTGCTTTTATATCAATGCTACAGTCTATGATCGTGCACCGATCACAGGGAATAAACGTCACCACCACCTCCCACTCGCTCGAGGTGAATTCTCCGGGTAATATCCTGCTGCGTTCTCACATCAGCTCCTGTCCTGATTCATCAGCAGGATCAGCTGGACGCTCATCTACAAGGATCGGCTGGTTTCCCTCACTCGCTCTCTCCTCAGCCTGACCGACTGTTGTTGTTGCTTTAGTCATTTATGTTAGTGCACTCTTCAACACCACACACACACACACACACACACACACACACACACACCACATAATCACATCACACACACTCAGACACGTCCACCACTACAGACTGAAAGCTTTTCATCTCTCACCAGATATCGATCTTCAGCCCGTTGGACACCAGGAACTGTATCGTGTCCACGTGGCCGCACAGATGCAGCGCCGTGTTCCCCTGGTAGTCCGTCGCCAGCAGGTCGGCGCCGAACTTGTGCAGCAGGCGGCATATGTCCACGTTCCCCCGGGCGGCGGCTAGGTGCAGGCCCGTGCGGCCCCGGTTGTCCCGGATGTTGGGGTCGCAGCCGGTCTCCAGGAGCCTCTTGGCGAACGGCAGGTCTCCATCGATGCAGGCCTGCAGCAGGGGCACGTTGGTCTGCGACGAGTCGTTGATGAAGACATAGGACATGTCCGAGTGGGTGTCAGAAAATTCCAGCGTACCTGCAACGAGGATAAGATAACGGTCGATGGACTTGAGCTTGTATACATTCACACCCTGATGCCAGAGGTTGTGACCATCAGAGGTAACTAATCCCACTTATACACATTCACACGGCGCTGAAAAAGCAGAGGGAGCAACTTGGGGTGAAGTGTCTTGCCCACAGGCACATCTGGGTTCGATCCCCAGCTCCTGCAGGGATAGATCTTCTATCAGTCTGTCGTGGCCAGTGCGCTGTTCTCTGCTGTGGTCTGCTGGGGGAGCAGCATTGGAGCTGGTGACACTAAGAGACTGGACAAACTCATTAAGAAGGCCTGCTCTGTGATAGGCTGCAAGCTGGACTCTTTTGTAGTGGTGACAGAGAGGAGGACTCTGAACAAACTGTTATCCATTATGGATAATCCTGATCACCCTCTGCTCACCCTACTGGACAAACAGCGGAGCAGCTTCTCTAACAGACTGATACAACTCCGCTGTCACAAGGACAGATACAAGAAATCCTTCTTACCGAAGGCCATAACTCTGTACAACAACTCACCTCATGTGAGCAGAGAACTGTCATCATGATAATATCTGTCTCTCCATACTGTCATCTGTTCTGCACGTTAAATTTATAAATATCCTGCACTCATGTTCACTTCATTTGTCTGTCTACTCGCCGTTATACTGAATAGTTTGTGCTGATAACATGTCTACACTCATGAACTTTACTTGTGTCAATACTGTCCATTTATGACTCTGTTTTTACATATTTACATTTAATCTTTCAGATTTAAGACTAGTAATGCTTAGTTCAATCCTGGTTGTATATATTCACATTTTTAGTTTTCATATTTTTAGTGCCTATTTACTTTGTATTTAATATTATATTGTGTTTTTTTCCTCATATTGTGAGTTTGGACAACCTGCTGCTGTAACGCCACAATTTCCCAGTTTAGGATCAATAAAGTCATTCTATTCTATTCTATTCTATTCTAGAGCCCACATGTCAGATATTGGGGTTGGAACCGGATGGTCAACGGTTCAAGTCAAAGTGCGGACCAAGCCTGGAAATTGGTCTGGTAGCTGGAGAGTCGGCAGGTCACTTCCTGAGTACTGCCTAAGAGCCCTTGAGCGAGGCACCAACACCCTGACATCTCCATTAGTGCATGTCTATATCATCCTGTTTGCTTCATGTCTATTTCACTCTATTTGTCTCAATAACAGATTGTAGAATCACAATAAATAGGCGCGGCTGCGGCTCAGTTGGTAGAGTCATCACCACTCAACTGGAAGGTCGGGGGTTCAATCCCCAGCTGAGCAACATGTCCAATGTGGGTTTGATCAATCCTTGGGCAAGACACTTAACCCCACATTGCTCCCGCTGCTTCAATGGCAGTGTATGAATGGATAAGTGTTGCACTTACTCTCTGATGGATAAAAGCGTCTGTAGTGACTATCTAATGTCCAAACTTCTCTCTTGCCTTCAGTCACTCGTACAGGTGTATGGAAAGTTCTTGACGCATAAAAAATAAACAAATGTCCAAAATTAAAGTACTTTCTGATGTTCCAGTTTATTGTCACATATGAAGCAGAGACAAACCGTGGCGATATATGATGAGTTGTTATTTCCGAGATTATACTGTTGTCGTTCTTTTGTTCTGTTAAATAGCCTACTTGCGTTATCCTGTGTTACGTTGTGTTACGGTAAGAACCGGATGTTCCCACCACCTCTGTCCCCCGTTTCCTGTTCACCTGTGACATATAAACACTCAACCAACCACCTGACCAATTAACCCAAACGATCAATTATCACCACCTAGTGTCCAAATTGAGTACATAAATCAACAAGTAAACTAAAGCCATAGAAATAAAACACATAAATACACACACACGGAGGCTGCTCAGTTGGTAGAGTCGTCGCCTCTCAACCAGAAGGTGGAGGGTTCGATCCCCAACATGTCCGTTGTGTCCTTGGGCAAGACACTTAACCCTGAGTTGCTCCCTCTGCTTCAGTGGTGGTGTATGAATGGGATTAGTTACTTCTGATGGATGATACTACATCATCACTACCATCAGTGTGTGAATGGGTTAAAGAGTAGTTATATAAGCTCAAGTCCATTTACACACTAAATGGGCTCCTACAGCGTCTGCTAAGTGAATTGTAAATAAAGGATGCCTTCTACTACCTTCTCTACCGCTGAGCCACAGGCGACAAGGTTCAGATCCACAAATAATGTAATGTGTTGTAAAGTTTGACACAAGAAGGGAAAAAGATCGAAAGTATCTCGACACCGGTCCTAAAGTTAAATCTTAAATTGTCAGATTTTTTTTCCAAGTCTTGCAGGAAAATGAGCTCCAATCAGCATCATGTTGTTTACATCTCTCCTCTCTTTTGACTGGTTGTATGTTGTTGTTTTTTAATCTCCTTTATGCTATTCTGCCCTACAAAGGCAAAAGGCAGTAACTTCAATTTTTTCAATAAATATCTTAAATCAATTGTGTTGTTTTTGCCTTAACTTCCAAAAGCCGTGGAGAAACCAAGGCAGAGTAGCTTCACTCATCAGGGTCTTTGTCTTTGAACTGCAGAATACTCAAAGTGAGTTAAGGTCTTCAAAGTGAAGTTACTGTTTTACTGCAGTGGAGTTAAGTTTGTTTTAATATCTGTCATCAAACACTTCTGACACACAGCAGCTTGACTGAAGTGTAGCAAAGAAATAGTGTTGGTGTGTTATTTTAACAAGTGAAATAGAGTATCAAATGGAAGTTAATGCCTTTAACCTTCCAAATAAGGGTCAAAGGTCATGTTTGAGCTAAAGATTTTTGATGAACATTAATAACCTCATTAAAAAAAGACAAAGAATTGCCACATTTCCAATATTCTGCCTGCAACTCATTTGGCTGGACAACAAAAAGCCTTTAAAGTCAAGTCAAGAGTTCTAGTCTTTTCAGAATAAAGGGTTGAATTAACTTTTAAAACACAATATAACACCTAACCTGTGTCTTTAATGCGTGAATTACAAAATAATAAAGCATGTTTCACCTCAAAATCAATGCAATCATTACCTCCAACCCTCCAAAACACTCAACAAACAGCAAACAAACATTTTATTTACATCTTAGTTTAGTTAAAATAAATCACTTTAAACCTTTCAGTGTCGCAGAAATGATAAATTAATGTGTGGAAACAACAGATTAAAGTGCACAACAACTAGCTGTGACATTACTTACAGTATTAAATCACATCGAGATAAGTTAATACTACTAAAACTGTCTCTTTGTTGTGTTTTATCCAGAACAATAAACACAGATTAATCATTACGTTAGCGTCCGAGCTAACAGGCTAGCGTCGTACCGTCGATAATAAAAGACTATTGTGCGATTGTACAGTCGTAGAAACGTGTAACATGACATTACATCGTGCTGTAAATGCTTCGTGCGTTGACAGTAACATCACTCACCTGTTTATGGGGTCCCAAATTTAAGAAGAAAAAAAAAAGTAACAGTCGCTTTTTCCCTGTCGAGCTAACGTCGCTAGCCTAGCAGTGTTGATGTTTTGATGCTTCTTCTTCTTCGTTGGTGTTTTTAGAGCAGCGTCGAATAAAGGCGTTTTGTCGCCATCTGCTGTCGATTCAAATAGCTGTAAAGTACTTCTGAGGGTATTTTCGCATTCTTTTTTTTTTACTTTCAGTCTTTACTTTCATTTTATTTCAGTTTATTGTATTTATTCCACACATAGCACACAACCCTTCACATAAAACAAGTCATAATTCTATCACAGCCCCTTACTCTAATGCACAAATACATACATGCACAATACACAGCAATTAAGATTAAGATTTACTTTTATTGATCCCTGTAAGGGGAAATTTCTGTTTTTACACTCTGTAGTCATGCAACACACACATAGGCTGAAATATACACACACATGCACAAACAGGATTCTATGGACATGCACTAATGGAGGGATGTCAGAGTGACGGAGCCGCCCACAGCGGGCGCTCCTGAGCTGATGTTGGGAAGGGGGTTTGGTGCCTTGCACAAGGGCACCTCGGCAGTGCTCAGGAAGTGATCTGGCACCTCTCCAGCTACCAGACCAACTTCCATATTTGGTCCGCACCAGGACTTGAAACGGCGACCCTCCGGTTCCCAACACAAGTCCCTACAGACTGAGCTACTGCCGCCCTCTGACTAAAAGAAAAACCCATATGAACTATTCTCACTGTATAAGACAAGTGTAACAGGGTCAAATATGTACCTGCCGCCCTATCTTTAATTGATTTTTTTCTCTAAATACCCGAGCAGCACATGAATGCAGCATCACACTTACACAACGCAGTCCTCCCAACAGTTACACATATCGGGAACATCTAGTCATACTATATAAGGACTGAAAGCTAAATGTTTAAAGGTTTAAAATAAATCTGAATTCAACACTCTGTTAGTTTAGAGACTTTATTTCAAAGTGTGTGAGCATAAAAATACACATAGCCGTATGAGACATGTTATGACCACTTTCTTATGTGTTATGGATCCTCTTTGAGGAAAACTGCATTTCTTTATTTTGTCACTCCAGGCACTCATTGCTGCGTGAAATATGGCGTAGAGACCAAACAGACAATACACCTGTCTTTCCATCTGTTTAAACCGTCAGCAATAGAATATACTTTCCATATAAAAACATCATCCTAAAAGGCTTTTTTTTTTCTCCCCCATTTAATATTTAATGTACACGTTATTATCTCCCCACTCCCTCCCATTGCAGTAAATAAAACCAGGGGATAGTATCATGATGACTAAAGTAAAATAATTACAATCTAGATTACAAAACAACAAAGGAAGTCGAAGGAAGACGGGGAATCAAATCAAACAAAAACAAAAAGGTAAAATGTGACATAAAATCAGGGCTACCAACAGAGAGACAGAGCTATGTGCTCGACACAGTGGTCATAGTGGTTACAAGTCACCCAGTAGCTTTCACTGTCCGAGGATAAAAAAAAGAAAGAAAAGAGGATTAAACCAGTTCAACTCTGTTTAAATTTCAAATAAAAATCAATGTAAGAAATGTTCAGTTGTGATCTAAAAACGAGTAAATTCTTCCTCTTTTTTTTAATCCAGCGACAGAAAAAAGACACACAGACTGAAAAATAACAAAATAAATGACAATAAAAATAAACGGCAAACAGCATATCAGACGTGCTCTAACATACTTTGCCTGGAAACCCAATAAGCACTCTTTATGTACAGCAATAATTAACAATCTGTCAGAGAGAGGGAGAGAGAGAGAGAGAGTGTATGTGTGTTTGGTTTTCTGTTTCAAAATGTAACACCAACTTTACTGTGATAATGAGAACACAAAACACGATTTTGGTCACGACGTACAAATGAAAGCTTGTGAAGGTGAAACGATTGAGTAGGTTTGCCCTTTTATTGGACTCATTGTTATCGTTTGTAAGTTTAAGAGGTTACATCAGTGCAATATATATGAATGAGTGGCCTCCGTCAGGTCTTTTATTACTACAGTTAGCTGTTTCAGAGGCTCCATCTTTTGAGGAGAAGTGCTGCTTAGCCATTTAAATGAATGCAGTTCATGTATAAAAGTTAATGTAAATGTTGCCTTTCAAGTCAACTGTCAGGGTGAAGTAGCACCATAATATACAGAGTGTATATGAAACATGCATTGTAAAGTTAGCAAGGACTGCAATTGGTAACTTTGCGTGTACAAAGTTGAAACCGTTTTTATCTGAACATCACTGCAGTTAAAGTGATTGTAGTTGGCAGAAAATACAAAAATAAGCATCGTTATTTTTAATGGCTGTTTCACTTAATGGTGTGTTTGAACAGAGAACCACGTCAGAATAGCGTCTACTTCAGTTAGATCAGCTGTCAAAAAAAAGAAAAACACCAAACTCCACCGTCGAGACCTTCAGTTAAACCGCAGACTGTATAGAAGAAATGGACAAAGCTTCAAGGTGTTTAAAAGTGAAGCTAACGCTAAGTGCTTCAGACCTATCTTCTTTATAATGTCCACTTGATAGTATGGCGTTCATTGTTCTGATTGCTAGTTTCAATTCTTCTTTAATAAAGTATGTTGTTGACTTGACATTTTAGCCCTCCCCCCCAAAAAAACTTTAGTTGCATTGCAACCTTTTGATTGACAAGTTGCTACTGTTGTCAACTGAAAATGCATCATTCAGTATTTATTTGCGCTAAAATACTCTCTTAGGAGTGGATTGTTGAATTGCTTTGTATCAGTACACTTTTAAAAAAGCTTTTTTTTTTAGCTAGCTAAATTAAGACATTCATATCACTGTTACTCTGAATTTAGGACGTAACTTGCTAACCCAGCTAGCGTTAGCCGATGACCCCTCTCGTCCATATTCAGGGTAAAGGAAAGTTTTTACTTGAAGCGTTTCTTTACTTAATTTATGTAACCAATTTACTTAATTTCATTTAATTAAAATATTAAATTAAGGGCTAGTGCTAACATTAATCGCTAACGGCTAAAATGCCCGCCACATGGTGAAGTGGTACAACAGAAAAAAGTAACACATCGCGGCTACGTCCACTTATAATATACAGTTTATGGTTTTATCCAGTTTTTCAAACATAGCAGTGTTTTCCTTTATTGTCTGACCTGACTAATCTGAAGAAGACGTCCAGCCCTAGTGTGTAAGCGGTGCAGTGCTATCCAAAGGGGGGTTGCACTCTCCGAGGTAGCCGAGAATGATTCCCGCCAAAAAACGTAACGAGAAAATAGACAAAATAAACACACAGAACATTAAACAATAGCACCATTGTCAGTGATAATCTAGAGAAGAGCAATCACACTGAAGCCCTTCTCTTCTTTCCGTTCACTCCCTCCAACTCTTTTTTCTTTCTTTTTTAAACAAGCCATTCATCCCAAAGCTGATCAAAAGCAGGAGAGGGGCTCATTTTCAGTCAGTCACGTGTTCTTTCTTTTATTTATAGATTTCCTTATAAATCGACATCTCTTCTTGGATCCTTGAAGTTGTTAATATGTCACCTCCTGACGTTTCCCCTCCTCCTACTACAAGAGCTTGCTGCAGACTTGGCAGCGGCTGACTCTGGAGCGCTCCTGGCCTCCCTTCAGGGTCTCCTGTGCTGGCGAATAGACAAACTCCTGGGTTGGATCCACGGTGGTGAGCCAGAAGCTGTACTTGTTAGCGAAGTAGTGGCAGGTACCCTTGGCACCGTTGCACTCGATGAATGGCGTGGCGCGGAAATCCTCCAGGCAAGAACCGGGAGACACCAGGGACTGACCGCCGCCCTCAGCGCCGGCTGCTGTGTGCTGTAAAGGAGAGATTTTTTACCAAAGTTCATCCTTACTTTAACTGTTGGCACTGCTGGAAAGCAAAACACTTAAGTCTGTTTGGCGAGCATTTTAGACAAGAACATTTTAGGGTTTCCAGGAACTGAAAGTAATGGGACACAGCAAAGTTATGTCTTAGTTGGTCGAAGTCCTTGAATCCCTGCTGTCCATTCCCAAATTTTCCGTCAGTCTTTACTGTCCTATTCAGTTAAAGGAGCAGCGAGTAACTCTGAAACCTAGTGTTTAAAATGGGTACTGCAGTTCAAATTCAAAACACTGTAGAGAGCTGTCTCCCCCCCGCCCCCTCGTCTCTAGAGTCGATGCTCACTCAGGTCACCATGTGGTGGACTCTGAAGCTTCAGTGTTTATCCAGCTCTGCATGGGTCTGTAAACCTTTCTGTGTTCTAACCTCTCTCCATTTTTCAAAAGCATCTCCAATATTGATCCTAGTTTGAGCACGTTTCTGCTCGTGGAGCTTATTAGAAACATGCAGAGGCTTTTTAAGTCGGGTACAATCACTTCTATCTGAACCACTTCTCTTGCCTGCTTCCATCGCTGCAACACCTGTTGGTTTGACCTGATAACTACTCTCATATCTGGCAAACTGAGGTGTGTCCAAAACTGTCGTGTAGACCGAGTTTAGCATCACTGTTTTAAACCACTATGCTGCTTTCTGAGATGGAATTATTTTCAAAATGTTTGTGTCGTTTCCTTGTACATTTTTCCTTCAAGAATCGCGCATATTGGTGTTTGCTTACTGATCAGTGTGTAGGCCTTATTATGAGAGGTTATTTATTCTCTTTAGTTTACCATGAGGAAGGAGTATCCTATCCAGAGACTCCTCCAGCCGGGTGGACAGGTGGGGATTGTCATGTCCTGACTGTGGACCGCCACGGCCTGAGATGGAGCCTCACACACAGAGCACCTGCAGGGAAACAGCTTTTTGTCAACCTGTGCAAGAGTGGTGTAGTAACAAATGAATGGGCCCATTATGATTTTCTTCCCCACATTGAATATCCGCATACAGTACCTGCTAATGTAAGGGCGTATCTGCTCCTCAGCCACAGGCATCATGGGTATTGGTGCAGTGGTAGAGAGCCAGTAGGATTTGTCGTTACGGCTGGCGTAGTAGCAGACCTCGTTGGGGGAGCAGTAGAGGAAGGGGATGGTGCTGAACCTGGGGAGGCATGACCCTGGCTGACCTGGAGATAGAGCAAGATTGGAGGTGGTTAAATACAACTGAGAGGCAGATGGCTATCCACCTATGAGTCAGGTTCTTCCCCAGCTTTCTGTCTGTTACAAATGAGTTTTTCCAAAGGTTAATGCCGAGGTTGTATCTTTGTCTCTCTTTGTATTGCTCCCTCAATCCAACCAATCCAATTGACTCCTGTATTCGTGTTCCATACCTAGGTCCTGATTGTGTGCCTTCTCCTGGCCCTCCACGTACAGCAGACTGTATCCATCCCACAGCTTGGCCATGCCCTGTGGACACATGGGCACCTGGGAGTCCTGGCTGTGCTTCACCAGAGTGTAGCCAATGCTGTAACTGCGACCGACGCTACCAGGAGAGCCGGGACGACCGGCTGTACCAGGAAGACCTTAACAAGAGGAGACAATGGAATTGTAGAGATTTCTTGTTTGGTTGTCTTTACATGATAGTAGAATGAAGGGAGTTTTTAAAACTGACAACCAAATGGACCCCTGACCTTGTTCTCCAGTGGGTCCAGGGAAACCAGGTGGTCCGGGGTCACCAATAGGTCCGGGCAGACCACCAGTTCCAGTCCTACCAAGTTTACCCACAGAGCCTGGACGGCCTTTAGAACCTGCAGCAGTCAAAGATGAATAAATTGTAAACCACAGTGACTACATCACAAGTAAGACCATTGGAAAAGCTTAAACATTCCCCTACTGACCTGGGCGTCCGGGTATTCCTGGCTGACCAGGCTCTCCAAGACCACCAGGGGACCCGTTGTCACCAGGATAGCCCATTTCTCCGGGTCGCCTGATGTCTGTCGGCGGCACAGACAGCGTGATTCCAGGAATGCCTTTACGACCAGGACGCCCTAAAAATTATGGAATGGAAGAAGAGAAAGATGGAGGAAAGAGAGAAGAGAAACACAACATGAACGTTTGAGAGAACAAATACGGACGAATAATGTATGTTCGGTCAGAGAGCAAATGTATGGTTTACTAATCAAATTCTCACAATAATTTCTTGAACTATCATACAAAGTGTTCTATCCATGGAAACTGTAAGATCTCCTACCTCTTAGTCCCTTTGCTCCTTTGTTTCCATAGAAACCAGAGTCACCAGGATAACCTTTAAGACCAGGACCTCCGCTGTAGCCAGTCACACCTCTTTCTCCTGGAATGCGATAAAATATTTTCTATTGGATCTTTTTTATTACGAAAACAGAATTTTTTCATATCTGTTTTTTAAGCTTCACTTTACCTTTGAAACCAAAACTGCCGGGGAGTCCTGGGCCTGCAGGTAGGCCTGGTTCTCCTTTCCTGCCGGGGGATCCAGGGAAGCCCGGGAGACCTGAGTCCCCTCTGTCTCCCTGAATAGAGCCTGGACCAGGAGGCCCAGGACGACCTGGAGGACCTTGGAAACCTGGAGAAGAGAGAAGATGTTTTGAGGGAGGAAAGAGCAATGGTTGGGAAGACATAGTTAGGTTAAGGGGAGGAAAGAAACAGAAAGGAAGAAAGTAGGTTTGGGGATGAGTGAAAAGGGAAAGAAAAAGAAAGGAAGGAAGTAGATGGAATTGTGCTGGAGAAATGCAAGGATAAGAACCAGAATGGAAATGGGTTGGAAGAAAGACTATAACAAAACTATATAAACTAGAGCCTGACAGATTAATCGGCCAGCCAATAATATTGTCCGATAATGGCATATTCAATGGCTATTAGTATCCGCTAATTTTATTACACTTATTCTCCGATAAAACTCGATTTATTTACCACTCAGATATGATTTCAATTGAGTATCATTACATTTCACAAGCATCACTCTTTCTAGCAATCACCAGCAGAGTGTGCTTTATGGATTATTACAAGCATTATCACCCTCCAGTGACAAGCGGTGACGCATGTGCAGTTACTTACTACAGTTAAGTAACCATCTTTTCTATGTTATACTGTTTGTTCATCTTTTCCACAAGTGTTTGATGACCGCATTTGGGGGATTAAGGCAAAAAATGTGAAAGAAATAAGGAAATCGGCCCAAATATCAGGTATTTTTTTCTCTTCCCAATATTGATATTGGCGCCAAAAATCTCATATCGGTTGGGCCCTAATTTATACTAAAGCAAAGTGGACTGAGAAAAGAAACAAAAGGAACAGAAAAGAAAAGAAAAGAAAGGAAAGGAAAGGAAAGGAAAGGAAAGGAAAGGAAAGGAAAGAAAAGGAAAGGAAATAAATTGAGTTTGTGAAAGGAAAGAGTGGAGGTATTGGTTAAAGAAAATAGAAGATACAGGAAATGGATTGAGTAAAGGAGACAGTGTCACAGAAGGAGAGAAAATGGAAGGAAAATATAAAGATAAGTGAAGGATGAAGACATGTTAAGAGGAGGAGAGGTAATTGGATAGGGAAATGTATTTACCATACTCTCCATCGAGTCCAGGAAGGCCAGGGTCTCCCAAAGGTCCAGGAATATCAGACCCCACAGTTGAACCAGGAGGTCCGGGTCGACCAGGGAACCCTGGGAGTCCAGATCCACCTGACAGAAAAAAACAAAGTCATTATTGTAAGATAATATTATTTGAATCCAACCAACATTTGCGACTTCCTTAAAGTCTATCTCACCTGAATCTCCTCTTTCTCCTTTTGGTCCTGGGTAGCCTGGAACTCCTGGGTAGGAAACACCTCTCTCTCCCTTTTGGCCTGGAATACCAGGAGCACCCGGGCGACCTCCTGCACTCACACCTGGACAACGATACAAAACATTCAACAGAAGCTTATCTTTCACATTTTTAACCCGCAGCAGGAAAGATATCCAGATTCAAAAAATTGCAGAGAAAACATGTCATGGCTCTTTCAAGCTGCTTGCCAAGAAGAACCTTTAAAGTAGGCATATGTAAAAAGGAAATGTGATTAATAATGGTCCTTGCCTGGGGTTCCAGGAAGGCCTTTAGGTCCACCAAGTCCATTAAGTCCATCCAACCCAGAGGATCCAGGCAAACCTGAAAGAACACAACAGAGTGTGTGGGTTTGTCTGCAGCCTGTTATTAGTTCCTGTTGAGTTAATTGTTATAAGTCAATTGCAATTACTGAGAGATTACCTTTGGCTCCAGGACCTCCAGAACCCCCGGGACCCCCAGGAATCCCATCTTCTCCCCTTCTGCCTGGGTAACCGGGCAGGCCCTTTTGCCCGGGGAATCCAGGAGAGCCTGCGGTGGCAGATATGTAATGATGAGTCTATGATTGAGGTTAGGAAAGCACAAAAAGCGTTCTGCATGTGGGCATGACGGCCGATGGGAGCTAGCATATAGAGGTTTGGTTCTGGGAAGCTAGAGCTCATTGTCAAGCGTTCCTGAAGTGTCTTGGTCCTAACTAGACTAAACAATGGTGAGCTCTTGCTGCCCATCTAGCTTCACGTCGTAGTTGTTGTGGCCATTGGTAGGGCAGGGCAGCCTTGTACCTGGAGCTGGCATTAATTGAGACAGGGTCCATTGAAGGTGGAAATGCTGTTTGGGTTGTGGTGGTCATTGAGGTCAAGCTCTTAACCTTTCATTACTCACAAGTATCTTGCGTTTATTTCAAAGAAATGGTCACTTGAGTTTTTTGTTATAATTCTTAATAGTTCGTCATAGTATCTGGTCCTCTCACCCATTATTCCAGGCCGTCCTCCTTCACCAGGAGCTCCCTTCTGTCCAGAGTAACCTGGATTTCCAGGAAAACCATTGTCACCAGGAGCGCCATCATTGCCACGACCGCCTAAGGAGAAACAATCAGGTTCATGAGGCGACTTTTTCAAGATGTCTCCTCTTTCACAAAGTCTTAGAAAGTGGAGAAAATGAAGTCAAATGCTTAACCTTTTCTTAAAGAAGCATGATTATAAATTCTTCAAGTTTGCTTAAAACAATTGGAAATGACTTCTAGCAAGGCTGGTTTTAACACCTTCTCTGCTGGTAGAGCAGTAACAAGAAGCTACCTTTGGTCACTCCAGAGGAAAAACAATCATATTTTAGATGTTATGGTCATATTTCTCGTCTTTCTAGGGACACATTTTTATCCAGTAAGGGTTCACATGAAGAAACACAAGACTAAAAGACATGGAAGGTCAACAGAGATTCAACAGAAAAGTCATTCCTAGGCTTTTTTTGGGCAGCATCAAAATGGGTGGTTGGTCTTTTTACTGTAAGTCTTACCTGGGAATCCTGGATCTCCTGGCTGGCCTTTGGCACCGGGACCTCCAGGATAACCATAACTATCTCCAGGTAGACCTGAGGGACAAACCATGTTAGTTAACAGTTCCAAGGCATTGGGTCGAGTAAATAGATTGGTTGCGATGATTGTTTTGGCTTGTGTGGCCTGATATTTACACTCACCTTTAGTGCCAGGACGACCCGATTCTCCAGGGTTTCCAGGAAGACCAAGTCCACCATCATCACCCTAAAAGATGCCACCAGAACATTAATCTCACTGTCTGAACTTTCTGAACATTATAAGTTTAGTAACTTTTTTTACCCTTGGTCCAGACATGCCCGGGAATCCATTGATTCCAGCTTCTCCCTTTGGTCCAGGGAAGCCTGGGCCTCCAGGTCTCCCAGGAAATCCACGATCTCCAGGCTGTCCTTTACTCTGCTCAGCGTAACCAGGAAGTCCAGGCAGACCCTGACGACCAGGCAGACCTGGCAGACCTTTGTCACCTGAAAGCAGACCCAGAGTTGGGTGTTAGAGGTGCAACATAGAGGAACAATCCTCATAAGCTCATCAGAAAACATACAGTCTGTTTCACAACTGTCAATCATAAAACAGACACAGAAAGTGGTGTCACCTCTGGGTCCAGGGAAGCCAGGAAGACCGTTGGAACCGGGGGTTCCAACTTCTCCTCTCTCAACAAACTCTGATCTATAAACAGGTGCGGGCGGACCAGCGGGACCAGGATATCCTCTGTCACCTTACACAAGATAAAAACAAAGGGATGTTAGTGTGACTCTCAAACCGAAGAGAACTCTACTCAACATTGTGCCTTCGTGCCAGTAACTTGACTGAGAGCTATGAATATCAGGGCCGCCAATGTTGGGCTTCAAAACTCTGCTTCAGAAACCAATGGGTTATGTCACGAAGGCTACGTCCACGTTACGTACAGTCTATTACAAGGACTCATTGATCACCAATAACTGCAAGCTGATCATAGTTTTAGTACATTATGAAGAAATTATTTTAAAGTTATTGTCATTGTTGAATGTTGTACAGGAATTTTGAATTATCTTAGCTGTCATTGTGCTCTTTCTTTTACCTTTCAGTCCAGGGAATCCTGGGCCACCGGGGTAACCGTCTCTTCCAGGCCCTCCATTCAGTCCTTTTTGTCCCGGAAACCCTGGAGATCCAGGGCGACCAGGTAGTCCAGGGAAGCCCATCAATCCTGGGAAACCTCTCTCACCTGTGTAAAGATTAGCCACATAGAATCAAAATGTTGTTGTGATTGCTCTGTAACTTTTACAGATCAACTTGTCCTTAAAATTGTATGATTGGAATCTGCGCACTTAATGTACTTTGGCACTTTTACCCACGTACCATGCATTTGCACTTTGTATGTTTTATGGATTTTCTGTGTCTTATTAAGTATATGTGACTCTTCCTGCAACCTAACTTACCTACGGGTACCAATAAAGTAACATGAATCTGAACCTGAACCTGAAGGACTTATAAAACATCCAACCTACCCTTAAATCCTGGTGCACCAGGGATTCCATCTCTGGTTCCTGGTCCAGGTGGTCCAGGGGGTCCTCTTGGCCCTGGAGTTCCAGAGGTACCAGGCAGTCCTGGGGTTCCCTTCATTCCTGCAGGTCCTGGGAAACCTGGATCTCCTCTATCTCCCTTGCGGCCAGGGAAACCTGGAGGTGGACGGATGATGGATGTCGAAACAGGCAGAAGAAGACAGACAGACATTTAGTCAGATATAATATACACTGTCAGTGGAAATACAGACAAAAATATAAAAAACTGTATCATTCCAAACATATGATATCATTCATTAACAAAAACATGACATACTTACCTTTTTAAAATATATCAACTTAACTCTAACTCAAAAGGTTTATTTGTTAAAGGTCACATATTATGCAAAATACACTTGGTTACCATGGTTTTCTACCACTAACATGTGTCCCTAGTCTGTCTTCAAACCCCCCAATTATGAGAAAAGTCCATCCTCTCCGTCTTTTGCCTGCTCCACTTTTCAGAAAATGTGTGCTCAAACAGACTGTTTGGAGATTTTTTGTGATGTCACAAAGGGCAGCAACCCCTCCCCCAGGTGGGTGACACTCCCACAGCAAGGTGTTTGTTCTGCCCTCTGAGTCTGCCTTCTCATTGTAAACAATAGGACATGGAGCGAGAAAGCCCGAGCCACCCAAGCCCTTCAAGAGAGGGGGTGTGGTCAGACACAGCTCATTTACATATTTAAAGGTACAGACACAGAAACAGCCTGTTCTGAGCAGGGCTGAAATAGAGGGGTTTATAGGCATGATCAAATACAAGATCAGAGTGGACTTAGAACAAGAAACTTTAAAGATATGTTTTGGGGAGCTCAGAGACTTATTTTAACTGGTTGAAAAGGAGAATAATATGTGACCTTTAATGTTAAAAAAGCAATTTAATTGAACCTTTATCATGGTTAAGCACACTCACACAATTTGTCAAAAACACAACGACAACAACTGCGCATCAATGTTAACAAAATAATCTTCCATTCCATTGTTTCAATGCTTTGTTTGAGCTGAAATTGCACTTAGTTTAGGAATATAAGCAAAGACAACTTATTATTTTAACGTGGCTAATTTCAGATACATATAATGAGGTATGTATTTAGGTTGTAATAGCTATTGGATTTATTGTAGTTATCTTTATTACTTATTTTAATAAAAGAAAAACTGAAGTGCAATTCCAGACTGAATTAGCTTTAAGTTTGTATTAGCATACTACACTACTGTTTACGTTCTTAAAAAGACAACCTCTTTTCAACACATCCACGCAGCCAAATCTGAACCACTCTGAATTGTTATGAATGCAGGATGATGCAGAGATGAGTTGAAAATGTTCAGGTGCTTTTTAAGAGTGTATAAAAACGCATCTACTTTCACCGACACAGCACCCAAAAATGAAGCTGTCACAAGAAGCATACTAAAGTTAATTGCAAAAAAAAACAAAAAAAACAACTCATCTAGTACAGACTACACTTCAAGATGAGCTCGAACTATGACGTTAGTACTGGCTGCAAAAACAACAAAGAAAACATCAGTAGACACTTTTTTTTTCAGGAGAACTTTTATTTCTGAATCTCTCATAGCTTAAATGTCCATCTTAACCCATGGCTCTGACCGTTTAAGGAAGGCTTGGTCATTTTAGAAAACTAGCATGATTTTGAAAGTACCATTCCCTCATTGCTCTGTCTACACCCAGATCTACACAGGAAATTCTTAATCTGGTGAGTTGTATTCATTTCTTTAATTCTTTATCTTATTGTTTTTGCTAGCTCATTGGTAGGTCCATGTGTATCAGGGCTGTGGGGACATATCATTTGAAAAACCTTAATTGGATGCAGCATTATTGTCATGGGGATGGACATTTTGTTGCTATAAAGATGAAAAAAGAAGGAGTGCAGGCACATGTTGCAGATAAAGCGTTTGGTCTGATGCATGAATAGCTGGAGGATGAAGGGATGGAAGCAAAGATGGATGGATGGACGGATTGGGGTAAGAGTCTGTCTCACCTTGGCAGCCTATAACGAATGACCCAACACCAAGAAAAGGATGGAGAGATGAGAGGATGGATGGAGATAATGGTGGTGGTGTGTAGGAAGGAGGGAGGAAAGGAGGAAGGAGAACAGGACAAAGAAAACAGGAGAAGAAGACATTCCTTTGGGTGATGCAGAGTTTCAATAAACACAAGAACAAAACAGGCAACTGTCATGACTGATTGGTAAATTGAGGATTATGGAGGAAATACAGTGAATAAAAGAAAAGGAAAGACCCAACAAGGGTTAAAGTGAAGGGATAAGAAGTGACACTTGCATAAAACTATGTGATAAATCTTCTTCTGTAGAAAATCTCAAATAATTTACACAGAATCGTCATTTTTTTAATTCCAACTAAATTAAACTGAGGTTTGGTTAGACATGTAGTGATATGAGGACAGGGTTGCTCCTGGATATCTTTTCCTCACCTGGTGGTCCGCTCAGTCCTTGGTTTCCAGGAGCTCCGGGCCGACCTGTAATACCCCCGGTCGGCTCGCCTGGGGGTCCTGGAGGGCCTGGGATACCAGAAAGGCCGTCAACACCGCGCTCTCCCTTCCGTCCAGGAACACCAGAGCGGCCATCACTACCTGAAAGAAGAAGAAAGATAATTACAGATTTTACTGATACTGTTTTTACTTACTGTAAACAAGCACTTATACTAGCCCTATGAGTCACTCTGTCTCACCAGGAAATCCAGGTCCTCCAGGGGTCCCCGGCTGGCCCTTGTCTCCTGGTATTCCAGGCAAACCATCCCGTCCTGGAGCTCCAGGTGTGGCTCCTAACACTTCTCCAGGCTGACCCTTGGCTCCAGGACGCCCTGGAACTCCATCCTTCGCCCGGCCTCCGTCAAAAGATTCTCCTGGTGCACCTGGAAGTCCAGAATCCCCTCTGGGTCCCGGAAAACCTGCGTTGAGAAACATAAATGTTACGTTACGATACTTCACGATAAGTTACGATACAATACATGCTACGATACTCACTACGATACACTTTATTGTCCCCTTGAAGAAATCTTTTCTTGGATGCCAAGTGTTGCATACTTTGTTGTCATGGCTTAATTTTAAGATAACCTTTCACCACATGGAGAACTGTGACAGGCTACAATGGAAGTTACCTTGAGGTCCAGGTTGGCCACCAAAACCAGGGTCTCCTCTATCTCCTTTGGGGCCGTCAAACCCTGGACGTCCAGTGCCTCCTGGGAAACCTGGCTGCCCTTTCGGACCTGACAGACGCATACAAACATAACTTCAAAATGATAAACAGGCATTTAAAGGAGACTAAATGGTAGTAGTGAGTTGTCTCATTTCATATGAGGTAGAAGATTTCCTCTGGTGAAATTCTTTATGTTTCCAATATGATCTGAACAAATGGCAAGGCAAGGCAAGTTTATTTATATGGCACATTTCAGCAACAAGGCAATACAAAGTGCTTAATACGAATAAGTATTGTGCTGTTTGCATGAACAGACCGAGGAAAAAGCATGTCTAGAAAACCAAATGTTATCACTAGAAAGCAATATTTTAGTCTGAACCTTACACCTTATAAAACAGCTACAAGAAATTTTGTTTTGGCTGACATTGAAATCGATCTCTTATTAGTGTTGTCTTTTTTTATTTACTTAGTTTAATCAAGTTAAACACTTCTTCCCCTAAACAACAGCCAGAAATCAATGATACGTCATATTTACTAAGGTGTAAAAATGGAAGAAAAAAGAAAAGAAAAAGAATTGTACCTGGTCGTCCTGGGATACCAGGGTAACCGGGGTCTCCATCCTCACCAGGAATAGAGCAAGGCAGCACTTGGCCTAGTAGCAGTCATAAACAGGTTAGGAATCACACTTATCTCAAGATACTTACAAACTGTGAATACTTGTTCACACAATAAAAACCCATTTACTACTCTTTTCCTGTTATTAAGGTAAAAGCTAAAAACTAAAAACTTATCTTGCAAAATCCTACCAGACCTGGTCAAAATACCATTTACAAACGTTTGAATGTCTCCAACTTTTGTTATACTCAATCAAGTTTTGTTAGTCCTAGAACTAAACACATCTGCTTTCTTATAATAATCCCTAGTCCACCTCCGTTCAGAGAGATTTTTACCTGACCATTCAGGAAAGGCCAATCCCAACTTTTTAAAAATAAAAATAGAATAAGACATCTGCACAAACAATAAGTTCTCATAAAATACCAATGGTATTGGTTGGTGTGTTAAACTAGAAGCTAGTGTTATAGTACTAGAAATCGGTCTTGTTCTCAAAATTGGCTCAAGACCACTTTTTGGGTGTAGTCTTTGAATCGAGCGTTTTTACTTGGTCTTGTCTTGGTCACTGACTGGGCGGACTTTGGATTTTGGACCCCCACTGATTGGCTCGGGTTAGGATTTAGATTAAATTTATGTTCTGGGTCTTGTCTTGATCTCGATCCCTAAATGTCTCGGCCTTGTCTTGGTCTCGGAGCACTCCAGTCTCGGGTATGTCTTGGTCCCGGTTAGTGTTGTAAGGTTCAAGATCAATTTGCATTTACTCAATTATCTGGCAATGTCAGGCTTACATTTTGCAGCACTGAACAAATACTTATTGGAGCTGTCAATAAAAGGTAAAACATAACCATCAGTGATTGAGCATTTAAACGTGGGTTCATGGTGTTTAAAGAATGGTATTTGGTCCAGGTCTGAACTGCACATATAACATGCTAACTTATTTTAAGTGAGCAAAACACCACTTACTGTCTCAAAAAAGTTCATCAATCATGGAAATATAAAATAAAATATGTATATTTCTTTATCTCATATCATCAATTCCAACCATCAGCCAGTAAAAAAGTTCATGAATATCTTTCGCAACTTTTGATTGTCTGTTGCATCCATTCATGCTTTTAATACTTTCAAATAAAATGCTTGCACATTGGTTAATTTATGTTTAATCATGATGATTATTGTGTTGTAGATTGAATGTTGTTAGTAGCAAATTCATCACAATCAATGGCAGTTCCAAAAAGTAATAGAATATTAAATTGACCAAAATATTAGAAAAATAAAAAGTTGTCAATTGAGTTTTGTTTGGGATAAGTTATACTTTTACCTTTGGCCCCTCCCCCACCCCAACCCTTATTGGTTAAAAGCACTTAGCAGAGGCAGGGCTTGAAAACATGCGCCAGGTTTCAGCAGCTTTGATTGGCGGAAGAGATGAGTTGTGGCTGTCCAATAACAGGGTAAATTAATGTCCACGATGGTGTCCCTGAAACTCGACTGTAAATCATCGACTGACTCTGCCAGAGTGGAATCCCTTAGACGCAGGGAGCAAGAGGCTTCCATCGGCTACATCATGAACAAATGATTCACAGCAAGTTTTCAGATTGCTAAAGACTACATATCTCAGAAATAATGGGTTTCAAATTTCACTTTTACTATTAGTCCACAGAAACCAAACACAGCTCTTTCTTTCTAGGTCACCTGAGACCTTTCTTTGAGTAAACTTAACCATGTGTTCACACTGCAAACAAAGGAGCTACTTAAACTGCATTAAAAAAGCATAGACCTTCGCAGGGCTAATAGTCCAGTTTAAAAACTCCAAGCACTGACCACGTGCTGCATTTGTTTCTACAATGATGCCTGACATGTTGTGCTTATTGTATGTTTAGTTGCTGTATGCTTTCCAGCATGAGGAAGATAAGCTATCAATTTCTTGCTTATGTTTTGGATCCAGATCTACCAGAAATATTAAGGGTTCTTCCTTAGCCAATCATGGCCCCTTTGACCAAGTTTCATAAAGAGTGGACCAACAAGTCCAAGTTGGGCCAAAGTGGGAAGCCCCTTGGTTGATATGTTGAACCAATTTGGGATACCCAACTGGAGACCAACCAATCTAGTCCTCAGTTCCATAGAGCAACAAGTTGGTTTAGCCAAAATGGGAAAAGGAGGGCCATTGATAAGTCAATACAGACTCTAGCCTTAATTATGAATTTAGCCAACCCTGAACCACTTGTGTATTCTATGTTCATCTTGTCTTCTAGTTTCTATATATTTTTCTGAATGGCCCACCATGATCACTGTTGGTCATGGTTGGCTGGTATTCGACCAACTTTAAAGACAACCCTGACATTATGCCAACTTGAAGCCCACCTAACTTGCGTAAAGCCTATGTGGGCCCAGCTTAGACAAGTAAGATGAGGTGGTTTGAAAACCCAGAGGAAAACATGTCATAGAATAAACCCTACTTAAAATAGGCTACATAAAAAGTGCCCAGATCCCAAAAAATAGAACCAGGTTTGTTGTTGATTTAATCATATTGCAGCTTGTAGTCAAGTAATGACCTGTCAATCAAGTTGTTTGCAATGTGAACACATATGTAGAACTAGAAAGTATGTTTTAAAACTTTATTAACTGGATAAAGCTGGATAAACCCCAAGTTACTACTACCATGTTTATTCTACCTAATGCTGTCCCTTAGGTCAGTTCCTGTTAGTTAGATTAACTTTGTCCAAATAGGAACATAAACAAATCTAGCCTCTAGTTGGTAAACTTTCCCATAAATTTTCGTTTGGGTTAGCTCGAGGGGTATATTCCATTGATCCACCAGTGGCTACACTGCCTTAAACTAAAACTACATATTCTGTCCCAGGCTTGTTACTCTGGCTGGTGGATAAAAAAGTTAGTTACCCACCCGTTCCCTCTCTGGCGTCATTAACCCCTCCACAGCCGGTTTCACCTGGACAGATACACATGCACAAGGAAGATTATAGAGATGGAGAGATGGATGGAGTAAGAGAGAGTAGAGCTAGAAAGAGAGAGAGAGATGGAGAGATGGAGAGAGAGAGAGGTAGAAGATGGCAGCATACAAAGCCAGTCAGGGTCATTTACATGCGCCAATAAAGCAATTCAAATATTTTAACATCAAACAAATCAGCAATCAGTTCCATTCAATTAAATCAAGGCTCATTCAGTTAAGGCAAAAGCACATTAAAATGCTTGCGTCACCGAAATATTGCTTAACATAAGGTTATCTCACTCAATGAGGAGAGAGAGGAGATGAGATGTAACAAAACGCTGTACAACTAAGGCTGAAAGTCGAATCCAGTCTCATTTCTCTCTGCTCATCTGAGTGACAATAACCTTCAAAATTAGAGCAAAATGATCATTTGTTTAGCATTAGCATCATGGTTTAAGAGCACACATTCATACTGAAGATGGGTGGCCAGCTGGACTTTGTGTCATTTAGTCTCAGAGAAAAAGGCAGAAACTATCTGATGGTAAGCATATTGACAGCACAAATATCAAATAGAACAGAGAAGAAAAAGTTGAAAAATCCTGATTTGAAAATTATAATTTTGACTGAACAAATCAAACCCCTATCTCTGAGACTAAAGAAGCACAGTTGCTGTTGCAGAATCAGCATTAAAATGTCATCATTGTGCGGCAATCATCTAATAAAAGCAGTTTATGGATTATAGATTATTGGCTGCAGAGGAAGTGTATAAGCACATTAATGGAGACCATTAATCTTGTAGTTAACAGTATGCTGCTGCAGCTGAGGCATGAAGGGCAGGAAGCGAAACCTAACAAGAGACATTTCATCCCTTCAGCTCCGGAAAAGTTTGGCTTCTTGAGCGCAGGCACGTAGACCAGGAGCTGTTTGTTCCCTAAGAGTGTCCGCAGATGGTTGAGGGTGTTATGATGAGGTTGTTATGGTAACTACAGTACAAAGTGGACAGAAAGTGATTGGATGGGGTGGATGTTTCAATGTGGTTTCACCCTGTGGGGGAAAATAAAGTATGACATCCACAAACATACACCTCTTGCTTATTCTCTCTCCCAAAATCAAGCACCAACACACAAACACACCAAACACTGTCTTTCAACTTCTTTCGCTCCCGTTATTTCCTCCCGTCATCACTTACCTCTTGGTCCAGGTAAACCTGGTTGTCCTGGTAACCCAGGTATACCAGGATCTCCATCAGCTCCACGGAAGCCTGGTGTTCCAATGTAGCCAACACCAGGCTCACCGGGACCACCAGGAAGACCCTTGGCGCCTGGGTATCCTGGGAAACCTTTCTCTCCAACTGTTCCAAAGCCAGCATCACCCTTGAGACAAGAAGAGAAGAAAGAAGGAAATGCTTCAAAATCTGTATTGGTACACCTTCTATAATGGACTTCTTAAAACGAGCAAATGAAAACCTTTGATATATAAAATTATGGTAGGTCTTGGAACTCACTGGGGTTCCAGGGGATCCAGGAAAACCAGGAAGTCCATCTCTTCCGGGTTTTCCAGTTTCACCTGTAGGTCCTCTGGGTCCAGGAACTCCGAGCTCTCCCTTTATCCCCAAACCGAGGTCGGGGTAGAAAGATGTCCCCTTCTCTCCCTTACGTCCAAAGTATCCCCTTTCACCAGCACGACCCTGTGGTAGGACAGGAATGATGGATTTTTACGAAAATCTTGGAGAAGAAGAAAGCCCTCAACAAGATCATAATCCAAACAGTAAAGTCAAAAAAAATTCTTACTGGAGGTCCTTGAACGCCACCAAAGCCAGGAGAGCCAGGGTCACCATATTCACCCTTTCGACCAGGAAACCCAGGACTGCCGTTAATTCCTGGGGATCCAGGCAACCCAGGTAACCCAGAGGTGCCTCCACCTAGGCAGGCACAGTCGCCAGGGTCACCTGGAGGGGCAGGGTACAACAAAGAAGGCAGAGAGTGGAAAGGGGTAGGATTGAAAAAAGTGAAGAAGGAGATCATAAATCAGGACAAAATTGTATTATTCAGTAATGGTCAGGATTTAACATCATGCATTTATGGCATTTTTATTTGTAATTCTAGGTCATAAGTCTTGAAGTCAATTGTAACATGAACATGACACATTTAACATTAACATGACCACGATACCACAGCATATTTGATACATAGCCTTAGCTCTTGTTAGGATTGCATTTTAGCTTAAAAAAACATGAACTTAAACCTACTTTGTCAAGGTGGTCTTGCAGAATAAAATGCTATCAAGGTGCCATAATTCAATGCTTGATCTGAAAGGCAACTGGACCAAGATGAAGTTCCTAAAGTTCTTGGTGAACTGGTGAAGGAACTACAAATATTAGCGTCAGTAGTATGCAAATGGTTGCGTAGTCGAATAGGTGGTCACTAACTTCAACTTAGTCCAGTTGCCTTTCAAATCAAGCTATTAATTACGATGACCAGGATGCCTGAGAGCCTTCTCAAAAGTATGATGACTTTTGGATGCTAATCATTTGCAGTGATTCACCAATGGTTAAATACCATTGGCTTTTTGTCTAGGGAACTAGGGCAATGCGTTCTCCCTTTTTGGACCACAAAAATTAGTCAACCCTGCAACACTATATTGCGATGGATAGTGCTGTTGGTGCCATCTTGCAGGGAAACAGTATTGGAAAATAAACTTTATTGAAAAAGTTCTTGTTGTGACACCGCTTTTGTCTGAGAACCATGATATTTATTCATGGTTGTGTAAGTTTACCTCTGTAGCCTTTGTATCCTGTGTTACCAGACTCTCCTCTGGGGCCAGGTCTCCCAGGCTCTCCATTGTAACTAATGGGACCACCGGGAGAACCTGCAAGCACACACACAAAAAATACCAGAGACAAAGTTAGATCATTTATTGACTTAAAATCATAAATTACCCACAAAGTATCCAGGATCTTTTAAGATCCCACACTGTATCAACGTAAGTCCAGTTGTACTACCTACTGTTAGATGTAACACCAACAGGCATTTTCGGACCAAGGGAACTTTTTCTAATGTAATATGAACAGAGGACATACTCCTTGATTTGTGTTTGTGCTGTTACACCTGGAAAAAATGTAGTTCTTGGAATGCTGTTAGAGGGACTTTCTTTTGCCCATACTTCAGAGTTGGTTCACCCCAACACGAAATAAAGATTGAGTGAGATATTGTACTGTGATTGGTCAAGAACCCTTCTGAAAGCAGTGAAGGAACTAAACACCAACCCCAGGTTTAAAAAAATTAAGCTTATGCAGAAGTGCAAACTAATAAAGTTCCTCAAGTATCTATGTAAGGCTAGGCAGTGGGTGGCAGTAGCTCAGTCTTTAGGAACCTGGATTGGGAACGGGAGGGTCACCGGTTCAAGTCCCGGTGTGGACCAAATATGGAAGTTGGTCTGGTAGCTGGAGAGGTGCCAGGTCACTTCCTGAGCACTGCCGAGGTGCCCTTGAGCAAGGCACCAAACCCCCTCCCCACAACCAGCTCAGGAGTGCCCACTGTGGGCAGCTCCGTCACTCTGACATCTCTCCATTAGTGCATGTCCATAGGATCCTGTTTGTGCATGTGTGTGTATATTTCAGCCTACGTGTGTGTTGCATGACCTATAGAGTGTAAAAACTCTTGCGGGGATTAATAAAAGTAAATCTTATCTATCTTAGCTACCAAATCCAAGGAACCCCTGTTAGGTCCCATAATAAAATGTTAATTTTACTGAAAGAGATTGATTGAAATCGAGACTGTTTAATATGGGGACCATCATCGTTGGGCTTCCGAATGGGTTATGTCACTGAGACAACGTCCATGTTTAATAAAGGCTTTGGTATCAGCTCATACTGTTAGCTTTAAATATTGACCAAAATGAACAAAAGGACCAACGTTGAAGTCCTTATTGTCATGTCTCCTTTCGCTCTCCCCCTTATCCAAAAAGCTCACAACACACAAGAATCAGTAAGTTAAGACCACATACTGTAGACCTCGAACTTGTTGTTGTATGTGGTAAGCATTTTCCTCTGATGTCACTCTCATGCTCGGAGAATTGAAACTTCAAATCTGGGCAAAAAAGCCCTTGATGGCATTTAGTTCCTCTCCAAGCACTTTGATCCGAAAACACTTGATGGATATCTTTAAAGATCCTTAGACTTTTTTATTTCATTTTTTACAATAACATGCTCTTAAACACAAATATTTATATAAGCAGCACAGTGCAGCTTCATGGTGTAATATCAGGATTAGTCCCTTCGGTCAGCTTGTAATATGAAAGAGTTCAGCTGCTTTTGCAAGATGACAGATGCTTACTTGGGTAAAAGCATAAACTTGTTTATATTTTATAAGAATATAAAACAGTATTGCACTTCAGTGATTTTACATGGACAATAATGGCTATAATCTACTTGGCCAAGCAGCATGCATAGGTTTTCTAGTTTTGGCATATACATGAACAAAGGAAACAAATGCTAACAAGAGACATTCATATTATTATTTTGAATGCAGTCAATGTGGAAGTTTATTCTTAACCTTTAGCGTGAAGAGAATCTTAGGTAAAGGTCAAGTAATAAGTTACTGAAAAGTTTCAATTGCAACAAGCAAAAACAAGAAAATGATTATAGTTTCTTTCAGTGTGTGTCTCTTTTTTGTTTTCTTTGTTAACATGTAAGTGCACCTCGAAGTACATAAAAAAAATCCCTGCTGCCATGCATTACGTCCATGTAAAATCAGTGAATTAGCAGGCGACACCTTGTGGCCAAAGATGAGAAAAGCAGCTTGGAGTAGAGAGAGCCTCCTATTCAAGTCTGAAGCCTGTAAAAGTTCTTCTCAGCTATACTTACCACCACACCCTCCATAGCGTTTATGAAAGCATTTTGGCAGTAGTATATTGCCTGCTGAAAGTTTTGTTTGCTGAATTTTATTGGTTGGCAGGCTGAATATTGCCATGGCAATCATAGCAATATGGCTGCCTTTAGAATACCTGCCTTTGGGCCTGGGGGACACCTCTGGATAGACGATGCATGGACCAACAGCAAGGCCTTGGAGACAGTTAAATCAGTCAACCACTTGTTTTTTAGCTCTGTATGCTAAACTAGCTTATAAGACTATTTAAAAAAATCCATTTTACAATTGCAAACTCCTTAATGCCAAGTGCAGCTTCATGAGAATAAAAGGTTCTTCATATAGGACATTCTTATTTTCCATCATTTTAGTTACAGGAAGTATTATTATTTTAGCTCTTTTAATGAGTTCTGTACACTCAGAGTGCTCTCTCAAAGACAAATAATAAGTGTACAACATTAATAACTGTTTAAATTCTATAGGTCTCGCGAGCCAAGTTACGAAGACATTTAATTTCTGTAATAATTTGTGAGTCCCGAACCAGCCAGCCAAAAGGCCGTACTGGTATTCCATCTTTCAGATAACTCATATCGATCCTTGTCATGACCAACTGTGAAGGGGGAACCAAATATATTTTGTCAGTCGATTCTATTTGAACATACTGGTAGGACCCTGAGGTCCAGGAGGGCCAGGAGGTCCTGGAAGTCCTGGAGAACCGGGGAGTCCTTCTGCGCCATAGCCTGGTACACCTGGGCCACCTTTCTCTCCCTTTGGGCCTGGGGTCCCGGGGAAACCTGGAGTTCCAGCACCTGAGAGGAGGACATTGATTGATAAAAACCCATCCCTCAGGACTGAGATTTGTTAAGTTTATTGATTTAACTTTGGCTCCTCAAACTACATATTACCTGATCCAAAACCACCAATTCCAGGTTGGCCTGGTGGTCCTGGGAATCCTGGAGGTCCCTGGTCACCAGAGGCCCCGGAGCGGCCATTGTAACCTGGAGTACCTTGTTCTCCTGCAGCCAAGCACAGAAGAAATGTCCATTCAGGAAACTCTTGCATATTAAACAGTAAACTTACAGTTGACCCATGGCTGATCCACAAACAAATTGGTCTTATTTAATGCTTTACCTTGAACAGAGGTGCCAATATCAGAAACATAAGCAGGAGGTCCGGGTAGTCCTTGTTCTCCCTGGTCACCCTAAAAGTATCACATAGTACAGTTACTAATGCATGTATTTTGTATGTAGTATGGAGCTTGGAGTTGTAAGCTTACCAACCTGACTTTCTCTGTGAAACTCTAAACATCACCAAAAAAGGCTAAGTAGCAATAAAACACTAATTTACCTTGGGTCCTATGTATCCTGGTTGGCCTTGGAATCCTGGGTTACCTCCAAGTCCCTGTTACAGGAAAAAAGGTTAATTAACTGTGCAAATGACCGCTTTAAACTTTTGTGTGAAAAATAACAAATGGAAGGCAGGGGGCATCATCTTCATCACATTAACAATTATTAACTATAACAGATTTATAGTTCACACTTGAGTGTCTTGAACTTTATTGGACTTGGGGAGCAGTGAGTAGGATATAGTAAAATATATTTTGGTATCAGTATTATGAAGGTCTACCTGTTGTCCTGGACCACCAGGAGGTCCATTAAAACCAGGAGCACCCTGTGTAGTGTAATCCAAGATGACATCCACCACAGATGAACAGGAAAAGGAAAGGTGAGACAACAACAGATATGCTTCTAAATACAATAGGGTAAGACATATTTGCTAGGGTATATCCACTATGTTGATTGGCAAGGATTCATAAAACATGGTATATTCCTATTTCTTTGTACCTAATTTCTAATATCACTTTAAAACAAACTGTTCGGGCTTACTCTTCCACCAGGGTAACCTGGAATGCCTTTCTCTCCAAGTTCACCACGATAGCCAAAAGGTCCCTAAAAAAACAAGCAAACAAGAAGGTTTAACTATGCCACTGTTTCTAAGAATCTCAATTAATAAGGTTCATATACTATCTCCAAAGTCCAAGAGAAATGCTTACAGGCCGGCCAGGACCGCCAGTGTATCCTCTGACACCCTTTCGGCCTTCTTCACCCTTTGAGAAAAAAACATAGAGAAATCAGAGGTAAACTTTAGAGTGCCACGATTTTGCAGGGACAAAAATTAAATGATAACAATTTAGTGAATAAATGTATCTTCATTTCTTTAATTATTTTTTTCACATTCTATGCACATAAACTTACCTTTGTGAACTATGCAAACAGTATAGATTGGTGAAAAGAAGTATTGATTTGAAATCAAGTAGGGGGTAGATGATCTGGTATCTTTTCATCTTCATGGAAAGCAACACCACGGCAGAGTGCCAGCTTTGATGTTTATGGTGGGCCTTTTCCTCTAATTACTCAAACAGTACCGACTGAAATGTAGTGGTCTCACAAATCTATGCATCCATCAATTCTCTTCTGCTTTTCCAGGGTTGGAGCACATTGGAAGGATGATGAGCGAGGTAAGATCGCCAGCATTCTTTGGTGGATCAGTTGGTGTTCCCAGGCAGGGATAGATAGTCTCTTTAGCAAGTTCTGGGTCTATCATGGGAAATCATCCTAGATGGACATGCCCATTCAAAGTCACTGCAAGCTTGGAGTCCATTATATCCCATTCACTTATTTATGTGTACATTGCATTTCCTATTTTTTGGACAGACACTGGATTTTTGTGTATTCCAACATTTTTAAGCTCAACCAGGGGGCACCCACGGAATTCTTCTCAAGTCTATCTTGTAGATGGACTGGGAAATAAAGATTTTGCCGTTTGGCTGAATCCATCTTATAATCTATCAAGATCTGAAGATATTTGAACTCTTTTGCTCTGGCAAGTCACTCCCAATTTGGAAGGAGCAAACCAATGTAACCTTGGGATTCTTGAACCATAACCCTAACCAACATCCTTGTTGGGTTCCTTTCCTGTTTCCCTTTATTGCAAGCATCAATTGGATTTAAGTCTCAAGTGGATTTTCAAAAGTATGTTGAAAACGAGATGCAAACAATGTAATTTAATTTATCCACATTTTGGCGTTACTGTACCAAATCTTGGAATACCATCAATATATTGCTTATAGTAGAGAACACTTGTAAAGATTGGGATTAAGGGCATATGGCTAAACTGATGCAAGGTTGTGCATCTTTGACACAGTGTAGGCCTTCCTGCTCTGTATTTGAATGTTGATTATTAGAAGAATTGCAATTTCCAACAAACCTGCATTCCTTTGTCTCCTTTGGGTAAACCCATAAACTCCACTATGCCATTGATCATTGGTTGTCCGGGGTCACCAGGCATGCCCACGTCACCCTGGATTATGTAACCGAGGAAGAGAGAAGTCTTTACTCTGTTCGTTGGGCGTCGAGGAGAGGGTGAAACAAGGTAAGGTGGGTCCCGCCAGCAGAAAAGCAACGGGGAAGTCGTTGGGGAAAAGACAGATAATATGGGACTGGAGGACGGCTTCCATGTGAACTTGGATTGAGCCACTGAAGGGCTTGGTCTCCAGAGGAGGGGAGAGGAGCGAGGAACTTCAGGGTTGATGATGAGAGGTTGTTCTTGGTATAAATTTAGTTTCTGCAGCTCATAAGCTTTTCTAAGTCTCCAAAAATCTTTGGAGGCAGAAAGTTCAGTTTTACATCAAAGAATAATTACTGTAGAGTTTCTGAAGCTTTTCATCCTTTTTTATGGGCTGTGGGACCAACCTCTCCTCCGCCTCTATCCAAAGTCTCCTCCTCACTTTCTGCGCCAACCGTTACTCCTCAACCTGGCTGTAAAGTTTGCTGCAATCACTGCTCCTCTTCCTATTTTACCTTTTAGTTTCTGGTTAACAGCCTGCTGACCTTCTATTTACCACTTTCAAATTGAGACCCCACCACATCCACGTTTCTTTGTGTGTGTGTGTGTGTGTCTTATGTTTGAGAAGCGTTATAGCCACAGCTCCTAGCCTTCCCTTGCATTGTTACCTTGTCTCCTTTGTAGATAGTGAGAGTTTGTTCGCTTCTTAGTGACCCGTCGCCAGGAGTACCACTGGGTCCAGGAAGACCCACGTCGCCCTGGAGTCCGAAATACACATAACAAAGCATTAGCCAATCATTCGTGTTGGAGGGAGGGGCGGAGGAGAAACATGAAGATAAAAAGGCGGAAATAGAAGTAGATATAAATAAGAGGAGGAGAAAGGAGAGGGAAAAAAAACTCAGAAGGTTGAAAAAAAAAATTGATAGAAAATACGTAAATAAACTACATGGCCAAAATTATGTACAATAAAATGCTGAACTTTAATTGATCAAAAGGCACGACAGACTCGAGTCTTTCGGGAAAGCTTTCAAGATAAAGCAAAATGGCTTCAGGTTCGTTTTTATATACCTTTGACTACACTCAGAAATTGGAGATTTTGCTTTTGCAGTTGTGGGAGCCAAAAAGGGAAAACTCTACTGCTTTTACACATTTTTACATGTCTAGGTCTTGGGGAGTACTATAGCATATGTAAAACTAAAAGTTGTATAAGTTTATATAAATACTGGCTACTAAAATCTTTTTAGGGCTCCACAGAATGCTGAAGGATATCAATTGCCCTCAGGGTTGTCCCTTCAATCAGCAGCTTTCGGGGTTTACAGAAAAAAATCGGTTAGTTGGAAAGAAAATGCACCAACCACATATCTGCTAGCATCTCTGCATGAGGCCAGCAATTAGTTTTAGCTTGATCAACCAAGCTAAAACATCTCAATCTCAAACTTAACTACTGTTTCAGTTATTGAGTTGCATTGTGCGTGTCAGTTTTTCACAGGGATGATAAATATGCTTTGAATGAAAAGGCTGATAACTCTGGTTCTGTAGTATCAATCTTGCAATTTTGTTTTGTCATTGCATTGTCCATGACATTTGTTCTGAACCTGGGGTCCAGCCATCCTTGGGGGGAGGGGCAAAAACCTGCTTTGAGGTTATCAAAGAGTTGCACTTTTTTACATTAATCATATTAACAGACTTCCTGGATAGTTTATATAAATGCCCTTCAGTAAGATCAGATGTGCCTATTCCATTGGGATGTTTTTGTTTCAAAACACCAAAATTAAATGAAAAAAAGGTAAAGGCAGCAAATTAATACAACGAGGAGAAAATATGAAGGTACGCATAAAAAGTGAAGAACAGAGAATAGACTGAGATAAAGAGAAAAGAGGAAACGAGAGTTCAGGGATACTTTTTCCTAAAGTCAATAATTGATCAATTTGAAGTAGTTTTTATTTTTTCTTCCATCGGTAAAGGAGAGCCACACTGACAGAAATGTATTTGAACAGGCTAACTGTATATCCAGCTGATCTCATACTTAAATTAACCCTGAATCTTCCTTGAGTTCAGTGTTGGAGGGTTTTGGTTGAGCATAACACGCATGCAGTGTGTGAGGAAGATGACTGTTAGTACTGTTGTGTGATTGTTTAAAAAAATGAGATGGGTGGTCGGGTGGATGGATGGATGGATGGGGTTTTAGGAGTCAAAAGAGCAGGCAAAAAATGCATTACATATCCCAAAAGGTTCACCATCAAATGCCCGTGAGTAAAGAGAGGTTGTAGTGCAATGTGAGAAGTAGGAGCAAGTGATTCCAGCACCCTGTTACAGTTCATAGATCGTCCTCCAGGGTGACAGCTCAGAGATTTAAACATTGAAGTTTTAATCAAAGTTCAGGGTTCTGTGTTAGGATTTATTCTCTTGACGTAAGGGGAATTATCTCAACATTCGATCCCTTTAAGGAGAAAAAAAACTTCAATTCAATCTCTGAACTGTCACTCAACAGTGATGGAAACAAGTTTGTGATGCCACTGGACAACTCACTATTCATATTTTTAAAGATGATTTTGAATTGATCAAGTTAATAGTAGTAGTAAATTGGACAAATGGGTCCTTAAAGAATTGGATTGTGACCCAGAATGAAGCACAGTGAGTGCGTTTGCGACTTGTCTCAGTGGCATGTTGGATTATTCGAAAAGAACAAACCAGACTGAATCAAATAGAGGTTCATGTGATTATTTTTTTATCATACAGGAAACAGATGCAATAAACAGTCCAGTAGTGGTGTCAATAAGGGGTTTGTAGAGGAGAGGAGGATGGGGGGAGTGATGCAGGGAGGGGGTGGGGTAACAGAGGGAAGGAGGGGTTATTAATGAATGTGTTGGACGGAAGAAGCGCAGAAGTTGCCAAGCCACCACCAGTCAGATTTTGAACATGTGCAGTATTATGTCCAACCAATCCATTCAACGAACAAGGCATTAACGGAGGCGTGCAAAACACACATAAATACACGCTCATGTACACACACATAGGACACAGCTAGTGCCCTCTAAGACTGCTGTTGTGATGTGCAAGACTAAAGCTAATGCTAAAGCTAATGTTTAAGGGAGTGGGAGAGAAAGTGTAGAAACCAAAACTGCTTGAAAATCAAACACAATTAACTCAAAAAAAATAATTCTAATCAATTCTTTCAGAAGTCTGCATGCACATTTTTTAAGTACATTAACTTGTGAGTTTGAACATTAATCGTCTTTCATGTGTCATTCAAAATTAAGCTAATGTTGCCATTATCCCATGTTAGAAAGTATATATGATAGGTGAATTTAGAAAAGGTGAATGATCAATATTTATCTGTGTTTTTTTTTTTTGTGCGCACATCACACTTCAGGCCACCCCTGCAAAAGTCAGTCCCCCATTTGGGCCACCCCAGTCCAAAAAAGTCTGGACACGCCCCTGCTAAGATGTATGTTTAAAGTTGAATTATCAAAGGCCGTTTTCTGTGAGTGATTTTATACCTACAGATAAATGAGTCTATGTGAGCGCTTCAGTTAACAAACCATACCTTGTCTCCTCTCTCTCCTTGATATCCGTCACTACGGCTCCCCTAAAGACAAGAGTCACCAAAAAATGTATTCGGAGAAACAAACACAATAACATACAATAATAAAATTGAGGCAATATTCATTCCTAATGTCTGCTTATTGCTTTATAACAGAATGTAGTGAAAATATTTTATACATACCATGAGCCCTGGGGGACCAGGAGGACCGGGTGGGCCCTAAAAACAGATGATTGTTTTAGACTTGATTTTGTAGATACAGTCAAAAACAAAAAAAAAACAAGAAATATAGGTTTACATACAGGGAAACCATCGGGCCCGCTTGGACCAACATATCCACGTGCACCATCAGGACCTCTGATTCCCTGCAGAGAAAGACATTTACATGTCACTTTTAAAAAAATAAATTCTGGCAATTTAATAATGGTCAAATGTTTCATAAAGTATCAATTGTAAGAATATTTTTGAATAGAGAGTGGAGAAAGTCTTACAGGTTGACCGTTGGCTCCTGGTGGACCTGGGAAACTCTACATAAAGGAGGAAAATAAACAGGTTAATAGAAAAGAAGTAATGGATTTGACTTGTTGCACAGCAATGCTAAAACAAGTGCTTTGTAAAACATAAAGGAAACACAGTTTATGACAATGAAAATGTTGAACGGTAAAAGAAGGAATCGAGAAAGGGAGGGATGAAAGGAGGGAAGGTCAGACTATTGAGATACAAGAACTGAGCAGGACACAAATGAGTGCAGGAAGGTAGAAAGTAAATCTAAAGAAATGAAAGATGCAAGGTCAGGATGTGACGGACTCATAGAAAGAAAATCTGAAGGTGCATAAATGTAGCATGAGCTAAAAGACCAAAATACAAAACACAAATGTGTGAGTTAACATGTTACGAACCGATTGTCTGTTTTCTGAGACGAATCGCGGCTCTCCTTTCTGTCCTTTCGGCCCAGTAGGTCCCTGGTGGAAGAACGACCACCGTAAGAATCAACTGTAAATTCTCTAAAATCCCAGACCAATAATAAAAAGAGGAATTGGAGTTTGTCCTTACAGCAAATCCAGGACTTCCAGGTCTTCCTATTCCAAAGCCGGAATCTCCAGGTTCTCCTCTAGTCCCGTTACAACCATCAAATCCTGATGGTCCTCTGCTGCCCTGCTGACCAGGGTGACCCTGAAGAGATCAAGAACAGGGGGGATGTGTACTCATCAAGAACACGAACTGATTGGGGCTGTGGGGGATTATTGTTTATATCACAATGTGAACTCGACTCTGACTTTTGTTTCTGGTTTACTTACATGTACTCCATCGTTTCCTTGGAATCCAGGCACTCCCATTGGTCCCTGAATGAGGACATAATCAATTGTGTCAATTTAAAATCAGTATGAATAGCTACACCTAGTGGTGAAAATGCATTACTGCTTGATTGTTGCAGACAGTTTGAATTGATATCCTTGAAAATTGAGCATCATCAACACATAAAAATCAATGAATCAATTCAAAGAATAAATGTAGCATTATTCTAATTGCTCAAGGTTTCATATTTGATCATATTATGAATCATGTACAGATCTTTAACACCCACTTTGTCTCCTTTAGGGCCAGATGGTCCTTTCAGTCCGATGTGGCCCTTCTCTCCTTTAGGCCCCATAGGCCCCACAGACCCACGTTGTCCCTCAGCTCCGCTCTGTCCAACCTCCCCGAGAGCCCCAGGACGACCCTGAGAGAGGAGAGAAAAGACAAGGTTATTTTACAAAGAGGAGTGTGTTTGCTTTAGCGGCCTCCAGTGGTAATGATGCAGATTGCATTCCAACAGACAAAACCTGTACATCCAAAACATGAATGAGAACCACAGTGCCTCTGTTCGGTTTGTCCATCCTGGGCTATAAAAGGTGGCTTTGCTACAAGGTGGCACTGGAGTAAATGCAGAAAAATTAAAGACTAATTACATCTCAGCATTTCGAAAAGGCTCCTTCAAATGCGGCTGACAAATGTGTCCTACTTTTCCCTGGCCATGAAGGATCCATCCAGTGCATTCTTAGTGGCAAAAAGGACATTATAAATTATTAATATATTAATATTCAGAGATGTATTGGACACCAATTCAAACAAGATGGAAGACTTTCCAGCGGTAAGATGTAAGTAAGTGTTCTCAACTCAGTCGAAAATCTTGTGATACAAATTTTACTTGAAGTGGGATATATAAGCTAGTTCCGGTGCAGCTGCCACGGTTTCTATGAGACAGGAGCAAGGCCAAGTAATGTTACGGTAAAGGCAGGTATAGCTGGGGTCACATACAGGCAATCCTTTGTAAACCGGACAATCCTGGTTCAGTTCGGCCCAAGCAGTCTTAGTAGGCTTTGACGGCTGAAGACAATGATCTTTGAATATTGAAGAAATACCAATGTCTTGAATGCAATGACAAGTTATAGAAATGTAGAATGACATCAGCCGTATCCTTTACTTCTTATCCTTTTTATTTCATGAGAATTAAAGATATTTGTAGGTAAAGTTTTAAGTATCACCTGATCCGTAAAAAATCTAAATAAGCACCTCAGGGTCTATCCTTAAGACCACTTCAGTTTTAACCTCGTATGTTACTTTCTGCATCTAATCAAGTATAAAAACAGTGTCTTCATTCTCTCCCCTCTTTCATCTACAGCCCCAATTACACAACATAATCCACCTGATGAGGGAGCAATCGAGGCCCAGAAACACTTGCGAACAAATTGCCGGGGGAAGCCATTTTGTGTCTTTGTGTTGTGGATTTCATTGGTTTGTTTACACGAGACGGGGGACAAGTCCGGGCGGGAAAAACCCAGCTGTGATTTTTTTTTTTTCCTGCAACACTTGCGCTTGCTTCACAATCCGAAATCTCAGAGGGTTGGTGAAGTGTTTTTATGTAGGCATGTAGGGGCATGTGGGCTCAGATGGTGGTCTGCAGGAAAAAAAAAACTGCTACTGTGGAGGTGTACATAGTTTCAAAATCACAAGAAAATAGCATTTTTTTGTAAATGTTAATGATATTAATTTGGGTCGTTAGAGAGAAAAGAGAATAAAACCTTTTTTTTTTGGATAGAAATGGACTCGTGATGCATGCTAAAGGGCTACACATCCATTTTCAACCACATGAGGGCAGTAGAAAGACAAACTAGCACAAGCAGGTGGGTTTGTGTTGATTTTACTGGCTGAATGGAATCCCTCAATTAACAAACGCACACACACATCTACACTACTGACAACCTGCCATTAGCTTATATTTGCAGCAGTATAACAGGGCAGGGAGAGAGGAGACAGATGTCTGCGCTCAGGTCAAAGGAAAGTCAGAGGATTTGAACGACGTGATTCAGACGGGATGAAACCTCGTTAATTATTGCTTTTATAGTCAAATTCAAAAAGGATCATACTTCAATATCAAACAGACTGACTTTACTTTTGGGTAAATGTGGCAAGTTGAGCATGAATATGTTTGTACGGCGAGAAACAGTGCTCATAAATTCATCCATAAAGACGTCACCCAGTAAACTTAATGGAGGAAGTAAAACATTGCCACAGATGTACATTTATAGGTATATTTAAAGTGCTGACATGCATGTAAATGCTTGCATGTATCTGATCGTATATTTCCGAGGATGTTCCTTTACGATGCTCTCAACACCTTTAAATTGGCCCTCATGTAACCTAATTATGCTCTTATATTGAAAGGTAGAATATAAGGGAAGTTAAGGGAAAAGTTTAAAACCCCACAGAGAGCGATGCATGCACTCATAATTCATTTCCACTGACATACATACAAACGCACACCTTTCATTACACTCATGGCAAAGGTTCACACACCCCTCTATTACCGCCATGCACATACATACACACAATAAAGAAAAAGAAGGTAAAAGTCTATTCCACACCTGGTCCTATATGTATGTGTCTGCTCTGCCTGTAGACACAAAATAATTCACCTTGTGAAATAGCTAATCTTACGTCAGGTAGGTATCAGAAGGTCAAATACCAGTATAATTAAGAATCTTTAGCATTTGTTTTAGCCTGCGGGGATTACAGGCAGGTGGAGTTTAGCATCAAAACCATTTGCATTAAAATGTACAACCTTGCACAAATTCCATCTTGTGGCTGTCTAAACTTTATGTTAGATTTTGTATGGCCACATAATTCTACAATTCTACAATTCACTTAGCAGACGCTTTTATCCAAAGCGGCGTACATCAGAGAGTAAGAACAACACAAGCAAGGATCTAGAAAAAAGGGAACAATGTCAGTAAGAGCAAACGATCAGCTTTGAGTCCGATTGGACACACAGGTGCTGACAGGAAGTGACCAGAGGCAAAGCACAACATTGAGGGCAGTTCTTGAGAGATCAGTATAGAAACCATCTTATAAGTCATCGTTATCAAACAAAAACCATCGTCACAACCATCATCATCATCAATAATATGGAGACCATCATCATTAAGTTAGTAGCTATTCATGAAAGAGCTGGGTCTTTAGCTTTTTCTTAAAGGTGCAGAGGGACTCCGTAGATCAGATAATACATAACTAACTAATCTGGTCTTTAAATTAATTCAAACATTACTTGCATTATATCCTTGGATCAGCTTTGACAGCTTTCTGACTCAGTCTTGCTTTTTGTGACAGCGATCCTGCGTTAGCCTTGACCACACTGTGAGTGTTAGTTCAGGATGCAGCCCTCGTGGCCTTGGGGGAAGGCAGGTAACACTAATGACAGGGCTGGTGCCGGGTAAAAGGCAAGCCTGCCGGAGCTGTCTGGCCTCGCAGCTCGCACTCACACCTGGTTTCACCGGGGGAAAAATATGTAGAGGTCCCACTTTCTCTCATGTCTCACCTTTTCTCATGTCTCGTCCGTCATCACTCCTTCTCATTACCTGTAGTTAACTGACTTAAGTTCTCCCTGCAGCCTGCTCGGGTCTATCTGTGTTTGTACACAAATATACTCCAGAAAAGAGTCATGCTTAGAGAGGTTGTTAGGTTATCTCGTCAAAAGGCTCTGACAGCTTTCTAGTAACTACTTTCAGGTTACGGGGGGGTCACTTTCAAAGACTCGGCTGGATACTCTGTCTTTCTGGTGTTATGTCAAAGGGGAGAGGTGAGAGGTGAGTTAAGGTGAAAGAAGGCTTGGTGTCCAACTCATGCTGAAAAATAGATTTCTTCTTCCTCCTTCCTAAATGTATGGCTATGAAAAAGAGACTTTTCAGGGATATAAAAAGCTAATACATTTGAAAAACAGCCAGTAAAATGAAATTGTGAAGAATCTCTTTCATGGTCAGATGTGAGTGTCAGAGAGTCTAAAGCAGGAAGTCAGATAAGTTCCTTATGGATGAGACCATCTCTGTTTATTCCCTAAAATGGCATGGAATTATATAATGCAGCCTGCAGAAGTAGAGATCACAGGGAATGAGGAGAGATGAAAGGGAAGGGATGAAAGGGAACAAAAAAGGGGAAAAACAGCAGTAAAGACAAAATACAGCTCTGTTAAGTCACATCAGATTATGCTGGCTCAGAGGTGTTTCTGAAAGTGACCACTGGGTGGTGATCTATCTTTCTACACAGGTCACCGACCTTCAATGACCTCTGTACTTAAACTGCAAATTGTGAAGGATGCACTTTTAGACATACGTTTACTAAAACCCTAGATATGTTGTTATTCAAACAAATTGTATAAAATATGATTAAATAAAAACTTATTTTAAACTATCAGAGCATTAGCTTCATTATCCATGTTTCTATTATCTGTGCCAACCCTTAAAGCTGCAACAATGTCTTTCTGGCCACTAGAGGGCAGAATAACTCAAAACAAGTTTATACAGTTGTAATAACAGAAAGTTGTTCTTGCTTTGGATTCAGCAGCATTAAACATAATTTTTCAGAGTCATATTTCCAACCATCTGATGAGGACTAATTCAATATTAAAAATCCTGATGATCTCTAGTTTGGTCTCCACTAACTTGTTCTTTAAAGGCTTAAGTTCGACTTTCTCCACAAGCTAGTCCCAACATTTGAGCAAATAGCATGTAGTAGCTTTTCTTAGAGCGGCCAAACATTGAATGTGCAGTAAACCCAAAACAACGTGCGAAAAGAGGCTAAAAAGCTCTGTAGCGGTTTGGTAGTTTTTTTGGAAGGCAACCCTTTTCAACCCTTGGAGGTATTTATTTGTTTTAGGTAGTGGAGGATTCCAATTATCTATTTTTTTTTCAATCTTTTAATGTAGTTATGTGAAGTATACAAATATAATTTCCAAATTGTTCAAATCTGGTTTTTACAACTTAAACAAACAACATATTTTGTTTTTTAGTCACATGGAGACAATTTTTATCAGAGATCAGTCTGCCCCCCTGCCGTCGTCTCCCTGAGTCCTGACCCCCTTGCCAGTTGGCATCCCAGTCTGTTTTCATGCCCGCCCGTCGGGTCTCCAGCCGGCTCTTCCAGACCTTCCATCCTCATCACCTTCCAGCAGACTGGTCAGTTTGTAGGCCCAAATCCCCTCCAGCACAAAGGGCACAATGGGGCCTATTCTGGGCCGCTAAGCTCTCTGGACTTACCGCTCCCATCAGGCCGACCTCACTTCCTGATGGAGGAGAGTGCTTGGACAGACAGATTCTAGCCAGCATGCATGTGAAAATCAACGTGTGTGTGTGTTGTCCATGAATGCACGCGCATAGAAACATGAACACACACCCTCGGGCCCTCTGA